GTTCTTTTTGTGTTCGTTCCCGGATAAGGTTAGCAAAAAACCAAGAAAAATGATTCCATATCCCCCAAACCTCCTCGTGTCATCTAGACAACCGCCTATTGGGAAACGAGCGAGCTTCCCATTTTCCCCAAAAGTGAGAGTCCTCCCAGTTGCATGTCCTCTTGTTGAGGTGGCTACGGTTAAAGTCGTGCCCGGGCGGAGCGGGCGGAAGGGAAGCAGAGCGAGGAAGGGGAGGAAGGGGGAGGAAGGGGGAGGAAGGGGAGGATGGTAGCGCACGCTCTTAACATATCGTCGTAGGAGATTATCGACGGTCAGTGTGAGGGCTCTCGTGTCGTTATCCTGGGGTTCCGGACGCCCCAAGCAGCTGCAAGGCCGGGAGAGCGAGGGCGAGGATGCGCATTCTGGAAAAGTCACAAGGCCGAAATAAATCTCTGGGAAGTGTGCCTGGGGAACAAGAACTGTCAAGAGGGGCCTTGGGGAATCTTTGACGAATGATTCCATAACCAGAACTATCGGCGCTCCGTCCTTGGTTAGCGCTTCCCTTTGGCAATGACGCAGTTAACCGCCGATGCCCAAAGCTTCAAAACTTTCCCTTATCACAACTGTTAAACTTTAACGAAAGGTCTCTCGTCCACATATATAACCATTCTAGCCCAATCCACGTGCCAACTAATCCACCCCAACGGCTTTTTTTCAATGAAAAAAGACAAGGATATCACCGACATTAATTGCGCTTAACTTTCCAATACCGGAGTACTTCCAATCAAACCCTTTGTGTTGTGTTTATAGCATGGTAATCGGCGGTTCTTTTTTTATTGTTTATCACGAAATCCGGGGAAGGACACCAACCTTAGGCTCCATACAGTAGATACAAACTTTTATAGGTGCGTTCCGAAAGTAATTTGCAAGTTACCTCGAACCCCTTTGCGAAATAGATAGAAAAGAAAAAAAGAAACCAAGAAAGTAACCCCAAGGGAAGACGTTGACCAAGGCAGCTCATTTTCACCTTACGTACACCCAGGACCTTTTTGCATTTGCTGTTTAGTACCAAGTGCTTGATGTTTCTACAAGATAGTGAAGGAAAGCCCCAAAGTTACCATCACCCAGCATTCACGTGCTACAACTGCCTCCTAGGCAATATTAGGAACAGATTTAATCCGAACGCCGGAGATTTTTCGAACCTGCCTCCCAGTCCTCCGCCTGACTGTCCTGCAGTCGGCGGGCACACGTTAAACCCCACAAGGCTGCATCTCCCGAAGCCTTTGCCGCCCATCGTAGCTGACCTCCTGATTGTCTCACGACCTTTATCAGTCCACGTTTATCAACGGGTAAGGCTACCCCCTAAAGTATTTAGCGTGATATTCCCCCGCATGACTGGAACAGCTGCCTACATCTCAGCCTTCGGAAATGGTCAGCCGACCCCCCAACTAATTATCACGTGCAAGGCAACAACAGCCGAGGCAACTGATTAGCACATTGTCGAAACATCGGTCTCTGGGGCGTATTTGTGCGTTGGCACGTATTGGCCACTATCGGGGCATAATTATGTTAAGAGCAGCCCACACAGGCATCTGGATCATCTCACAGGCAGCCTGGTCTGCCCGGGGTGGTGTCACCGACAGCGCCCGAGGCATCCTGCACATCATGCCGTGCATCCATTTGCCCGTCCAAGCATGGAGCTGTCATGGGCAGCACGTCGGCCCACGGCTACAGCCCTCTGCAGGGAAGCACGCGTGCTCAGCACGTGCTAATTGCTGGCTGGAACTATTGGCTGGGCCCTCGGCCGTACGGCACGCAGTCGTTCCGGCCTGTCTCAGATCACGTTGAACTGGTGCGAGGACCGCCAGTATCCTTCTCCAGCCGGCCGGTGCCTCAAAGCAGGCGATGGAGGCATCGAGGGCTAGATTCCAAGGCAAACTGCACATCCGGAGTGCGTGGGAGGGGTGCAGCGCCGCTCAATAATCTCTTTGATATCTTGTGCGCGTGGACGAACGCCAATTTATGTGAAGCATAGTGACGCAGTCGTTGAGCGGTGGTCCCTTTTCTTGGGAAAGTATGGATCAACCCGATTACCCGCAGGGAGCTATAGCTTTGGTGTGAACTCCACCAGGGGGTATCACAGCATTCCATGTGCTACCGCCCTATACACGGAACACGCACTTATTCCATGCCGCCGCTTAGATTGTATGTGTACACGTGGACCGGTGAGCAACGCCACGAGTAAACAGGGCGGGACTCATTTCTGGGAATCGGAAGCGGGCAGGCTGGTGCTGATGACGCCCCGACGAGGGCCACACGTTGTGGAATAATTTAATAGCTGGGGTTTGCTGTTCGGTTATTGGTTAGACAGATGCCCAAGACAGGCCAGGCAAACCCATCCCAGCTGAGTCTTGGATGTAAATTCGAGTAAATTAGCCGAAATCCGAGAATGGAACCTGGTCCGGCTCCACAGGTTTTCCATGAGCATGTTTAATATCTCAGACGTTTGTAGCACAGCATGGGTTCACATCAAGCTCGGCAGAAAAAGAGCAAAGGCGTGATTCGCCAACCACCTTACCGGTGCAGGTCGTGCAACGGTGCTGCGTGCTAAAGATATGCTGGCCACCCAGTCGGGCGGGCCACGTACGGGAACAAATCTTGGCAAAGCCCCGGCTGTAAGACCCTCTTGCACCATGAAGAAGTCCTCATGTTCCGCCTCAGCTTGGACAAGAGAAACGCCTCTCCCGCGGCTACATAGACAGGCACCCGGGGCACAGGAGCACGACGCCTGACGCAGTAGCAGATGCCTTCGGGCGAGGGGAGGGTGCTGGCAGGCGGCGTATGCGGGGCGGTGGCACTGGTGCTTCGATGATACCAGCCGGTCCCGGGCGAGCACCACCAGACGCATGTATGCGAGGGTGGGAGGAGGCTGACTATCGGTGTCCAGGACATTGGACTTCAAAACGGTGGATCCTACCAGTACATCGGGTTTGCGTGGCTCTCCAAAGGAGAAAGTGTAGCACAGGAATCACCTTTTTAGGGCCCCACCGTTTTGACGTTCGAGACCCTGGACACCCTTATAATTATGCCCAGGTGTAGCCAACGGGGGTCGACGGCTCGGGGACCCGAGACGTGCAGTTATGCCCGGCCGTAGATGGCGCCCCTAGCACGCCCGGGCTGGGGAAGGACATGACCTGGCCTCGAGGGCCAGTGGGTTTCGAGGCGACGGACGCCTTTTGCCCCAGCCTTGGTGCTTGCATCAAGAGGGAGAGACATGTTTGGGTACTTTGGGGGCGAGAGAGGTAGGTGCCTTCGTCTACAGGTGGAGGGGGTGTACGCTTGTTGTTCGCTGAGCGTCTGAACCCCCAGCTCGGCTCTGGCTTTGGACCTTTGTGTGGTGGGAGGTTGCAAGAAGGTGTCAGATCCATGTCATCCATTGGCACGACACCGAGTCCGTCGGCGAGTCCTTCGGTCCGTTGGACCCTGGGTCTCTCGGGTCAGCTTGTGTTATTCGTCGCCGACCCGCTCACACAACTGAGCAGGCATCTGAGCAGGCGCCCTCGCCATCTTTGAGAGATGCCTGCTCGATTATACTAAGCTGCGGAATAATACCAAGTCGGGCGGCTCCCTTTTGACTCTAGATAGCGGGGGGTTCCCAGAAGAAGCTGGCAGGCTTCGTCAGAGATTACAATTTGCATTACAAAAGTCCAGGTTCGCAGGCCAACCAAGCCATGGCCGTGGCGGATTTTAGGGGAGCTGATCAGCGCGGGATTGCGACTTGCGACGAAGGAGGCCTGCTGCTGCGCCACCCGTTCCAAGGAAGCATGAACAGCTGCTCAAAAACTGGTTCTGATACGTTGCCTTGTTTTGCGTCGCTCCGAGGCGTCGGGAGTGTTCAGGGGCTCATCTGGGGCCGGGACCGTTATGTTGGGGATTCAGATGCGGAGGACACGGTCCAGTAAGGGGCCTGCGCGGACTGTGGGTGCTGATTGGTACATTCTTGGCCCCTCCCACCGCATCTACCAGACACCAATTGAACAACCTCGACCTCTCCTTACCAACATGGACACGCTCATCGAAACCCTCTAAAACCACTGCATAATTGCCGCCCTCGCCATCGGTTGGCTTTCGATTCCTGAGCCCAGTCAGAGCTGCGCACCCTGCTAGCTGACGATGGGGCTGGACCTCGTATCTTTAGGACGACTCCTGCCATAGCGCGTCTCCTTGTACGAGAAATCCACCCCTTCTCCGCACTGGAAGCCAGCTTCGTATCTTGGCCCGAGGCCGGAGGCTCCGTGGCGGTTGCGGCCGGGATCTCCGAGACCAAATGGGAGCCGCCTATCCGACAGTGACGGGAGTAACAATAGGTCCGTTGCGCTGATATCAAACCCACTGGTCGAAAAACCGCGCGGGAGCTTGCATCACTTCTTCCGCTCCTTGCGCGTAAAAGGGCCGCGAATTCAGCTGCCAATCGGTCGGTACCGGCCGATGCTCCTCTCGCGTTGTCCTCAGCTCCCTTGGAAGTGCTCTCGTTCGACCACCTCGTTTCCTCTCCCGCCAACCGCGTAGCGCCTTCTGATATCAGCCTCGATGGGCTCCGCGGCTCCGAATCAGGATTTCGGCAAAGAACTTGGGTTGGCCAATCCGGCAAGACCGGCCTAGCTGCAGGGGCTGATCGGATCATAATTTGCAAGGTGTGGCAGGGAGTGGCGGTGCCAGCACCGCCCCCCTGTGTGGTCTCGCCACATAACCTGTTTAGATTTCGACTCTCATGCATCCGGGGCACCCACGCACGGTGCCCGGAAAAAAGTCTGGCCCGCAATTTATTCCCCACCACCACAAAAAAAAGAGCCCATCCGGAAGACTTCGGCACTCCGGCAAAGCGAAAAACGTTATTATGTATTATGGCTATAAGTAATGCCTTTTGCATCAAGATAATTACAAATCCCTTAAACGCGTGTTTTTATTTTTATTTTAGGTGTAGGGTGCGGCGCGGGCATATTGTTCGGTTTTGGTGCTGGTACAATTGTGGTGGGAAAGGTAGAGTTTGGGTGGGGGGAAAATTTGCGGTCCAGATTTTTTTTCCGGGCACCGTGCCACGCAAGTTTTGCCTCCACAATATATCAACGACGTAAACGGATGTTTCCATTTCCTCCCCTTTTTTCGCGAGTCATCGACTCCAGCTTGGCCTCCGACTAGACGAATCCAGGTGGCGACTCGTGAGACTGCTAGTAGCTTCGTTCAGCCCCCGGTCGCTGATCTTGCGTGCGTTGGCCAATAAAAACGGTTGTTTTTTCGGTACTTCCACCTGCGCCTTATTTAGCCCGTGATAGAAGTACCAGCACAGGGGTGCTTTTGCTGATCACCTTCCAATTCGGGCGACCTGGGCCCAACGGCACTCAAGGGAATGGGTAACATCCTGTATCGTTCACGAACAACCGTTTGTGTACATGAACATCACGGTTGATGGACTCGTCACGCTTAGCCAGGTACTAAATTCGTCGTCTGCGTTTCTGTATCCGGCTATTTGGGCACGTTGACCAGAAGGAAAAAAAAAAGATACGCGTGCCTCCCAGACAAATCCATAGAAGCTTCTGGCCCGTGTTTTTGTGGCCAATGTGCGCCGACGATACAAAAGAGATAATGAATCATAAGAAGGAACAAAACGCTGAGTGTGGTTATACCGAATCTCCCTGAGAGCCGTTGCCATCGACCCTTGCCCTTCAAGCATGCTTTTGGTGGAAATGAAACGCTAGGGGCGCCAATCCGTTTCTTCAGGCCCCAAATGCCCATCTCAATGGCCGAGACGAGACCAGTATCTGCCCAGCTCGAGAATCAGCGGCTCGTATTGGTTTGAGGGGACGACAAATGAAGAAGGGCAATGGGTAAGACTCACAGTGCCATAATCATCTGCATCGGCCTTGGCTTCTCGCCCTTTCAGCTTCGGTCCGTCTCGGGGCATACGCCACAAGGAAACTAGCAGCGTGGTTGCCTTTGTGGCGAAAATACCACCCTCTCCCCTCTAGACGGCGGTGAATAAGATGCCTGCTTCGCGTTGTGGGACGGTCCCCCCCTTTTCGCCCCTGTCCAGGCAGCCGGGCCGGCGAAGCTTGCGTGCTTGCCCCCGTCCTCTTCAAAGAAGGCAACCAGAAGCCTAGATAGCCATGTCCTCGTGGACAGACGACATGCTATCCCGGCCTCCTGCCAGCCTGCGGGTCTGCCTCGACGCCCGCCGAAGCCGAGGCGGTGAGGCCAGGCTTGCCGGAGCCCCGGCCTGCGCCCCGTGATGGGCTGTCGGCTGTCGACGGCTCAAAGGCTCCTCCCTCTAGAGAGCCCTTCGCCTTTCGCCGCGGAGACCGAGGTAGGCACACACCCCTTCCCCCCTTTTGTGGCAGCGGCTCTGTCGGCACATATCCCCGGGCTAGGCAGCAGCACGCAGCTGACGACGGCGTCCGAGGATGACACATGCATGGCATGTCGGACTTTTGGGACGCCACCTGTGGTGACTTGAATGTGGTGCTGACTTGGGTGTGATGGGAGGTCGCCCTATCGTGGGAGCAGTACTTGCTCGAAAAGAAATTCTCCTTGAACTCCAGAAAATAAAAGGAAAAAAAAATACAACCGGGAAGGAGGGAACCTTAGTCATGGCCCTGAGCGACGTGGGCGCCGACCGATGACTGAAAAGGCAAGAAAAAATCCATCTCAAGCCCCCTGCCTTGCATTAGGCGGAAAGGGGCTGTTGCGGCCGCTCCTGACAGGGCGAGAGGGCATGAAAGAACGCACGGCCTGACTCTCGTGAGTGTCGTAATGCCGGCTTGTCCAGCAATTCTCTGGTGTCGTCTCATGTCTCCTCTCATGCACCCCTTGTTTCTTTTTTTCTTTCTCTCTCTTTTTTTCCATCTCACTTTCGAGTCGAGGTTGATCACCACGACGACGGCGACGACGACGACGACGACGATAACGACAGCGACGGCGACGACGACGACAAGCACACCTCTCGTTGATACGTCCCCACACGGCCATGTTGCCGTCGACACACCCCCCCACCCGCCCCGATCCCATCAAAGGGCGTCGACAGCCAAGGCCGGGGGCGGGATCTTGTTGGGGGCCAGTTACGGCCCGGCACCGGCGGCGGCATCGGCACCCAGGTCGGAGAGGAACCTGGCTATCAGCGGCGACACCAGGTCCCGCCGCGGGTTGTTGGATTTGCCGTCGACGGCGTACTCGCTCTTGAACTCGTGCACGGCCCCGTACCCGAACTGGGTCTGCTCCCTGGTCGGCTCGGCGGTCGAGGCGCGGGAGCGCGGTTCGCTGTGGCTTGGGGACTCGCTCCTACTCCTGCGCGAGGCTGCGGTTAGCGCCAAGTGCGTGCGGCGAGGCTGACGCTCGGTGCTTGCGGTTGATTGGGGGGGCAGTTGTTTTCTATCTTACCTTTCGGACAGGGCAGGGTGGCCGTTGCCACAGTTGGCCACGGGGTCGTCGTCGTTGTCCACACCTGGGTAGTGCCTAGGGTCATGCACGAATGAGTTGAGGACATCCAGGTCAAGTTCCGACGGGCCAAGGTGGCCCGAGTCGAAGACGGCGTGGCCGGAGCTGGCGCTGGTGAGCGATACCTCCATGGTACAATCGTAGCCTGGATGTGTGACGCCGAGGCCGTTGCCGCTCCGTTCCGGCGTCGTGCCGTCGTCGCTCGTCGCGGATGCCGTGTTGACCAATGTCCAGTCGCCACTGGTGGGAGAGTATTCCATCTCCAACGTCGGGTGCTCGGCGCCCACACCGCTCTCCATCACCTCCGTTTCATCGCGGTCTTCTCCATCATTACGATCAAGCATCTCGAAGTCGCCGATGCTTGTCGACTCATCACTGGCGGTCGCATCTCGATGGGATTCCGTGCTGTCTTGCATGATTGTTGCTCGACAGATGGGCGAGTGCGGGTGTGAGGCGGGCGGCTGCGACGTCGTTGGCTGTGGCAGAGAGGCGGTGTCGCCTTGTGCTACGGGCTTGCCGGGGGCGCACCCTCTGTCGTGCTCAGGGACACGGGTGCTTTTTTTTTGTCTTGAATCGCTCTTCTAGCGTCGTTACTCGGTATCCCAGATGGGGTATCGATGGCGGAGAAGCTAGAGGGACATGAGTTCGGGCCCAACAGAAGGCGGAGTCCATTTTATCGTCCTCGACCTGATCCGAACATCAACCCAGCTCTACTCGGGCAGCGACGCAGCACCAGCAAAGGTGACGCCGGCGATACGCTGGCCACCTACCTATCTACCGTTAGGCTCCGCTACGTCGGTCTAATGCAGCACCCCCTGACTGAGAGCTGGGGGGCAGGGGTTTCTGAGAAGCTTCTCCAGACGCTACAGTCCAAACCACCTACCTTACTGGTTACAGATCTTGACAGCAATACTGGTCAACCAGTCGAGTTCCGTCTAAAGAAGGCAACCGCAGGGGATGCTGCAGGTCCCCAAGGGTCCCGAGGGAAGAAAAGGGGGGGGTGGGGGTGTGCATAAACGACGGCGACGGCTACACAAACCCCCCTAGGTCAGTGCCCAGGCGGCAAGTATCTTTTTTGTACCAGTACAAGCCGCCACTGTCGACTAGTGGTCGCCTTGAATCGGACATCAGAGGCTCGCTCAGGGAGTCCATCTCGAGGAAAAGGGGCAATGGGATCTTGGGGAGGGGGATTGAGGGCAGATATGAAGCTTGCAAGAGGCAACGGAACAGGAATCTGGGAAGGTGGTATTACTCGGGTCAGCGTGGGTAGGATGGGAGGGTGAGGGAGGGTAAGGGGATGAGTGAGGGCGTGATCCAAGCCCACAGGCTGGTGGTTGCATATCCTAACCAAGGCAGTCAGACATTGGCACCCAACCATTTTTCCAAAAGCCGACACAGGCGTCATGAACAGCAGATCTCGCATGAAGGACGAGGAAGAGGGAGAGGAGGGGCACCGGCTGATTTATCTGATTTATGGACGGAGGGGCTGCTCGAAGCCTTGCCCACAGCTACGCGGTTGGGGGCTTACTGGGCACGCATGCGAGAACGACGCCTCGTGTGCTTGGTCGCCGCCGAGATACATACGGCCCCCAGTGTTGGTGGCGCCTCAATGGTCACAGACACTACAGAGCCTGCAGATACAGAGCCTGCCGATTCCCTTGGGTTCCGCTCGCACGACGTCAGGATGGAGGTGGTGGGGGAGGGGGGACGATGGCTCGCCGCCACCACATGCGGGCGGTTAGCTGTTTCCAGCAGAGCCGGACCCGGGCCATCGCAATTGGGTGTTCCCGAAGCCACAGAGGCGGGCTGTCGTGTGTAACGGCAGCCCCCCTTTTCCTTTTTCCCTCCCCCATTGTCCGCCTTTACAAGAAGGGCCGCCAGCATCTGCCGAAGAAGGCTCGAGATAGGGAGTGGTGATGGAGGCGGTCGCAGGACGCATTGCATGGCATGGCATAGGAGGCGAGCAAATGGACGTGACGAAGATGGAATGGGAAGATGGTATTCGGCAGTGGGGGAAGGGCTATTGCCAGTTCATGGATGGCACCCAAGCGGACGCAGGTGGGTGGTGCGTGCTGGTGGCGGCAATTTCCCATGCACGAAGACGTTTTAGGAACTCTGCCAACTCTGCCTGTGGGAGTTCTCGCCAGCCACATCGGGGGCAGGTGGATATGGTCGGGGCCGGAGGTCCTGATGGCGCCGGGTGCTGTGTCCGGGATGGGGAAGCAGCTCGCCATGTATGTTTTGCGTGTTGCCGTCCACCACTGCCCTCCATTATGCTTACCCCTTTACCTGGGTATAGACTGTACGATCCGATCTTGATCACAGCATCCCTTACCCACTGGGCCCACAACGCTCCAACGGGAAGAAGCGGGGCAGATGTATGGTCCGTGCTTTTGTGGTGATCTGGGGATCAATGTTTTTGCAACCGTGGAAATCAAATGTCCAGCAGACCCCAAGACCACCCCTTTGTGCCCATTGTCCGGACGATCTATGCTGAAAACAGCCGGAATATTGGCATCATGAGTCGCGTGCTGTTTGTGACTATGCAAGCCACCGGATCTTGTCACTACAGCTGACAAGGAAACCGGCAAGAAAAAAAACAACAATTGAAGACGGCAAGCCCTTGTCTCTGATCCAGGCGCTAACGCCACGGGCCGTCTGCCCTGCTCGCTCGTGGGTCAATGGCCCGGCTCATTGCCAAGCGGCCACCGGAACAAACCCCCATGACCAGCAGCCGTCCACCCGTCGTGTCCGCCCGTTGTCGGCTGGTGTCGAGATTGGACGGCAGCTGGATCACACTTGGCGGAACACGCATGGATCCTCCCCCATTTGTCCGACATGATGCATCGGCCGGCACGTCCGACAACTACTACAGCGCACCTCCGAAAACGCCATCAAAACGTCATGGTCGTGCCGAAGAGGGGAAGAAGGCGGGGAAGGTCGAACGCCATGCCATGCCATGCAAGCAAGCAGCAAGCAAGCACTTCCGGACATGGTCATGGGTACGGGACCTGGTATGGCTACGTCCCAGTCCACGCTGCCACCATCGTGGAGTCGAGTGCTCACTGTTCGCTGGTCGCTGGTGTCACTGGGTCGGCACCAACCGATAACGAACCAGCCAAGTGCAATGCGTGGCGTTTGGCGGCACGGGCATGCCGGCAATTCTGCCTGCCACATATGACTGGCTGGACAAGGGTGGCAGGCCCGTAAGCAAAACAAAGAATTGAACCTTACCGCCTGGGCGGCATCTCGAAGAGTTTTGTAGCTTTGCGGCTCTGCGGGCTGGTTTTTGCCACCGCCCTCAGTGGGCCCCATCTAGCGCGCCCCGTCAATCACAGCGAGCCTGTAATCGGTGACAGCGCCAGCACAGCCGGGCTACTGGCTGTGTTGGGTGCCTCCTCGCCCGTCTTCTTAGTCCATATAAAACACCCTGTATCCTCCTGCAAACACTCCAGCTATAGTAACTATTTGTTGTGGCTGCCTCTTATAGTCGCAGCCTGCCCTCTTCTCTTCTTTTTCTTCTTCCCTACACCAACCAGCCTGGCCACCCTCTTCCCTGCCTCTCTGCCTGCCTATCTACCTATCTACTTACCTGCCTTTGCCCGTCAAGAAAGTAGATCATCGATCAACAATACCATTATCCAGACCCGGGCGTTCAATTCTTGCATCCAATGCAGGCTCCGGGACGCCTCTCGATGCGCCTAGGCAATACAATCCGATCTTGCGACAGGTTGTTGCTCCTTTGAGCAGCAAGGCGACAAACCACGGGAACGCGCCAGCATCCAGAGTCGCAGGCGGCATACAACCGAAAAAATAAAATTAAAACAGCCTCAGCCGGGGCTGCGCCTGGCTCTGCCTCGCCGCTACCACCAACCCCCAATTTGCTCTTCAATACGCCCATCACACTTCAGCCATCGGGCGGGATACTGCCATTTCATTTTACCGGCTCAAGTCCTTGCCGAGTTCATGAGAGTCAAGAAAAAGGCGACCACCACACCCCCAGCCACCACACCAGCGTTGCCGCGCGCAAAACTGTGCTAGTCTATTATCGGGGGCGCTCAGCCTTTCAGCCCGGCGCCTCTCGGATGAGGAATATTGCTAATCTCGGGGGGAAAAAAGCGCCATTTGGGCGTTACAGCGCAAGCCCTCCAACGCACTGACCTCGGTCAGACGCCCGCCATACGACGCCTCGTTCCAGGCAGACAGTTGCCTTGATTCTTACATGCCCTTTGGTTCCCGAGGTTCCCGAAGGCATGTTGGAGGAGTATCAAAGCCCCCAATTTGAAACGGTCGCCTTTGTTGCCTCGCCGGATTGGCGTCGGAGGGATGAGGCTGGACAAGGGAGGTGGGCGATGGCCCATGTTTTAAGGCAACAATGTTTTAAGCCCAACATCACTGAGCTAGGTGCTAGGTCCGTTGTCGCGGCCACCCGAAACTTGTGCATTGGGGGGCTAGTGCACCAACGTGCATGTTGCTGCCTCCTCCAAGTGCGGCTGCCAACAGCTACTGTGAGGCACAGGCCTGTGATAATCACAGGAGGCTGGACGAGCTTACATGGAACCAACAATCGCAGCAAGCAAGCGCCAACCGGACGCCAACCGGATGCCCAGGCCACCACGAAGCCAATCAGGTCTATCGGCGTCATGAGGAAACTTGGCCATGCCACTCTCGATTCCAGCCCATGTTGGAAGCCGAAATCAACCGATATTCCGCCACCCAAAATCAGGCAACCGGAACGCTACGCCAAAATGAGATTGGAAGACCCGCCCCCAAAAGTATGATGGCCCGCTCGGGCCTGCCAAGAACACCCTTGCCACTATGTGCCGCGCACGTTCTCGGAGCCCAGTTCCCTAAGTCCGAGATTTGTCGGCGTCGAGACCGGCTTTTTGAGTTTCCGCGCGGTCATGATAGCCCGGCGAATGGGGTGCCCGCGGCAAATATCCAGCCGAGATACGCCGAGGCCGTCCACTACAACCACTATGTCGTTCCCCGCCTTGTTGCCTACCTGATGCAAGCCCCCACCCTTAGCAGCCTTGGGCTTTTATTCACACTGGCCACGGTACCGGCTTCGACGGAACAGCAGATTGACACTATGGGTTGTAGCGCTTGTGAGGGGCACAAATGCTCTTCTTTGATGCGCATCGATGGCAACAATCCACACAGCAACCTGCTGACGCCTGGATACCCCCTCACCCCAAATGGCGAGGCCCAAAAAGAAGGCAAACATGCGTTTTGCGTTCACCGGGGCGTTGTTTCGGCAATTCCAACACCGATGTGCCTTCTGGAAATGGCGGGAATAACTTCTGCGCGCTTATGGCTGCATGATCGAGGCTTGGAAGCCTGGAGTCTGACCGCCAGCGCATGCATCTACCTACCTAGGTAGACACCTACGCTATAGCTGCAAGGCGACCGTATCGGCCCAACAAAAGTCAGCTTCTGCTTTCGCAGTCATCCCTTCTGGAAAAGGCAGAAAAGCCGCTTCAGCCGCGCAGTGCGCCGTCAGTAAGTAACTAGGCGCTACCATCCGGGTATCCGGGGCCCATTGGACATCTCTGGACTTCTCTATCACGTCATCCACAGCCCTTTTGACTCCCAGGACGGGAAGTCCCCATTAGGAGAAAGAAACAACAACGGAAAACTCGGCGCGGTTTCTAGAAAGGCCTGCCAAGGCAAGTTGCCTTTCTATTCCCATGTTGGTGCGTTTTGTTGTGCATGGCCATCGCGTTTTTTTTTTCGGCTGCGGGACATGCCGCGCCTCAACCCCACACATATCGGGATCCCCGACAGGTCCCCTTTTCCTGGAGTGGCCGAGAGCCCTAATACAACTTCCCAGCAGTGGCCATATACGGACACCGAGTCGGCCCAGCTGAGTCGTGCTCTTATACAATTGCCTCGGCGCCTCCGTCCCCTTTTTTCTTTTTCTCCATTTGTTCTTCAGCTGCGGCATTTTCCGCGTCTCCGATATTCGCCTCGAGCAAGCCGCCACGCCTCTTATTGGTATGGAGTTCAAGCGGGCCACATAGTCAACTATGCACAAGCGCGCGGCGCTGACTAGTCCCTGCGGTATCGGCCTTCACCCCCCCTCCCTCTGCTCGGTCTCGCCTATGAAAGGCGCAAACGAGAGAGTCCTCGCCCACAGACACGCGGCTGCTCAAAGGAGAATTAAAGCCGTGGAGGAATATGTCGGTGAAGGAAACCAGCGGTCTAAAAGCCGGCGAGCAAATGAGGAAGCAACGAGAAAGAAGGCGACCTTCCCACGCCGCATCCGTCCATGACATCAGCCCGGTGCTGTGCTGTGCCGCGCTTCCACATTTATCGAGCGCAGGGTCTCTTTTTTTTTTTTTTGTCTGAGCCGCGCGCACTAGGAGCCCCCAATTAGGTCGATGTTAAGGCCGAGGATTCCTTCGGGAGTGGAGGCGGATAGGAATCTGGGCTCCTCCTGGCCCTTACAGGATCCGCCGCCTTTTTGCGCAGCAGATCCTATGGCGAGGGGTCGTGGTGTGTGAACAGTAGGATGATATAAAAAAAGCTCAAAAATTCTCAACACTGTCACGTTGTGATTCCTCATATTGCTGCAGGCGTGATTTTAGCCCCAGCTACAACACTATCCCATTTTGCTTTTGTGGTGCATTAGGGTAGCCTTGTCTTGCCTAGCCTTGTCGTGTCATTTTCTAGGGAGCCTTACGACTGGACCTCGACGGCCTCTAGGTAAACAAATATATGGCAAACCCCGCTGTGCGAGTTTTATTTGTCATCTGCCGTACTATCCCCTGGCCATCTGGTCCGCCCTACGCCCCGCCTCAAGAAGCCAAATGGAACGACAGCCAAAGTTTCGGGCAACGGGCTCCCCATGGGGATCTTCAGAAAGTCAAGTGAATTGTCGATATTTTGGTAGTCTCATGTCGCAAAGAGGCTGGGCCGCGGACAAAGCCCTGTCGGCCTCAAGGGCCCGGGTCCTCGTTTGAGGCCCTGGGCCGGACTCCGTGAGGCCGCCCGGTGCTTGGTGGAATATCTACCGAGCATTAGTATATAAAGCCCGAGGGTCTCCCACACTCTCTGCTTCCTCTAGCCCCCAAGGCAAAGGTCTACCAAGTAACCATCTACTGCACGCGCCTGCTTCTTTGCAATATCTCATTGTGCTATCTATTTAGCTATTCAGCATCACCCGCTCAAACGACCTAGGAGTCGGAAACGCCCCCTTTTCCAGCCAACGCCACGCCAGTGTTGATGCAGACGGGTATCGGGAAAACAGAGCGCCAGATGGTGCAAACGAAAGAAATGGCTCAAAAGGTCAAGACACAAAGCATGGAAGGAGAGTACCAAGAATTCCAAGAAAATCGCAGAAAGTCAACGCCAACAGATTACGCAAGGAAATAAGAGGAAAATACCATGGGACAAACGTCGCCGTAACCTCTTCGGTCCGGCCTTGCATCCAGCACCCCCTCGCTTTCCGTTCTCACGGCCCACCACGCCGGCCGACATGCCTCGCTGAAACTCGAACTAACATAACCGCCTTGTTCAAAGGACGGTGGAACGTACCGATGGGTAATAGAACGTGGATGGAGGAGGGGGGGATATTTCGTATATGGGGGTAGTGGATGGTGGGGGCAGTGTAGCCTCAGACCTTCGAGTTCCAGCGAGGCACATCTGCAAGCCGACGTGGTAGGTCGGGAGTGGAATGCATGTTTGGCGCACCAAAGCACGAGCGGGAGTTGCCTGGCGCGCCCGCTCGAGTCAACTTTTGTCCTGGGACGTCCGGTCCGCCTGCACGATGGTCACGGGCGCAGGCGACGGCCCAGCCGCGGGCGGCTCCTGGCTCTCCCGCTCCGGCGGGGCGCCGCCTGCGCCAGCGACCCCCGTCGGCTCGGCGTCCGGGAGCATCTCGTCGTCTTCCGGGGCGGTCTTGGCCGGGGAGGGGCGGGCGTCGACGTCGGGGTCCTCGTACTTGGGGAGGGGACTGAAGCGGCGGGTAGTCTTGTCATACTTGATCCACCTGTCCTTTTCGGCGATGCGGCAAGCAAGCCATAGGCCGCGCTCCCGCCGGTGGTCACCAAGCGAGGGGGTCTCGAAGTCGCGCTCGTCGTCCTCTGACTTGTCGATTTTGAAGTGCTCCGCAGGGAACGCGTGCTCCGTCCAGACCAACCCGCGCAGCGCCCAGTCCTCGGGGAGGGGCTTGGTTGGAGTCTTGGGGAACTCGGCCGACTCGTACGTCTCGGGGTGCTCAAAGTCGGGGATGAAAGAGTTGAGCGAAAGGCAGAGCAAGTGCCAAGGGAACGCCAACTCGAGACGGCCCATAGCAACATCGATGCTGGACATGGCGTACATAAAGAAGAGCCGCGCGTGCAGGTACGAGAGGATGTTCGGGTCGCCCAAACGCGCCATAACAATTTTGTCGGTGTCTTGGGAAAATTTGACAGCCTGCTGAACCCTGAGCGGCCATTCAATCTCGTCGTCGGCGGCACCCTCCATAGTGGAATCCGCACCGGAATCTTCAGGGCGCGACGCTGCGATAGCTTTCATCAGGGCGTTGTTGGCACTGCCATGGCCAAGAACCGCTGCCGTGTTGGAAAGTGCGATTTCGTATCCCGGCTTTAGCCACTTCCTAGTGCTCCTCGCGATTTCGAGGTCAAGATTGTCCCGGAACTCCTTGAGAGCCCCCTCAAGAATTTGCTCGTTCTTGTTGGTAAACAAGACAGCGTGGACTTGGATGAAGGCGCGGTTAATGGCAGGAAGCTTGCTCTGGGAACCAGAGATGACAGGCTCGAACAACGTAAGGATGCTGTCCCTCGCACTCTTGAAGGGGATTGCTACGGTCAAGCTCTTCAGGTAGTAGAATAGCTGGGCAACGACGTCGGGCCGAGCGAGTATAGCCAGGTGGTGGTGCAGCCTGCCAGTCGTCGGCGCCTTGTCACTGGCTTTCGAGTACCAGCTACGAGAGACGGCAGTCCACACATTCCTGTCGTGCACATCGTCGTCCTCAATCGCCATCCTAAAGTAGGCGACTGTTAGTAACATGGCCCAAAGCGCAAAGGAGAAAGGAGAGCGTCATACCTATAACGCGAGAGATCTCCCAGGCACTCGATCCATGTATCCTCGAAAGCAGGCACAGTCTCATACAGCAGTGCCATCATGCTATACGCTAAATAGATGAAGCTAAGCATATACTCGGACGAAGCTGGCAGGCGATGGCGGAGCAGCTCGAGGAAACTGTGGATACCGTGCCGCCACATGCGTGCCGGCATGGCATACTTGGACGCCAAACGTCTAAGGGCAGGCCCGGCAGAGGGGTGCTGTGATGCGAGGAAAAAGTCTGTCCCAAGGCAAAGGTTAGCCTGGCATAGCCGGTAGAGGAGGGGGAGACGTACCATGGTGTTCATGAAGTAGCGCGCGGTGGAGTGATATCAAGGCTTGCCATTGGTCGTCGGTCAACTTGGATGTGTCCTGACCATCTGGCAGTGATGTCTGGGCACTATCAACATCGATACACCTCGACTCGACCATTACGAGGCTAACGCGCAAGACCATGTAACGTCAGTAAGAGCCGCAGGTATGCCACGTGGTGGCGGGGGGGTGACAGGGGTACTCTGGGGCATAAAAAGACCCAGTCCCCCCTCGCTCCATCCCCCGGAACTTGGAAGAAAAAAAAAGAAACAAAAAAAAGAAACAGCCACTCACCCAGAGTAAATCCCCTTGACCTCGGCAATCAGTTGATCTTGGCTGATGGGCCGTGTTTCCGGCTGCTTTTGTAACTGGTTGACTTGCTCGCCCGGAGGCTCCCCTCCTCCCACATGTCTGCTGCTGGGGCCTGGTTCGCCGCGATTGGCTTCCGTTGAAGCCATCGCTCGCCCCCCTCGGGATGCCTGGGCTGGCGCGCGCGCAATTGTCGGGTCACCTTCGCCCCAAAGTTTTTTCTTCTCGCGAGGGGCGCCGACAAAGTCCTGGCCGTCTGACTTGTTGTTTCCTTTTAAACGCCCTCGGCCTGGCGTCGCGGTTTGCTTAGTCGAAAGCTCTTGTTCGGGGGTTTTTTGTCTTTTGGCGAGGGACTGGTCGCCTTCTGCCTCTGGCGACCGACGCTTACTGGGCGAACCAGCGGTTTGCTGCCTGCAAAAGAGTTGGAAGGCGGTCAGTGTCCTTTCTGGACGTGCGGCAGGAGCTGCGGTGGAGAAGGGCACCCCGACCACCAGCACCCCGACAGAGAACAGAGAGCCCAGCTGGGACTGCCACCAGTTTTTGAAGGGGCAAAGTCATTTCATTGTTGCTAGCATCGTGGAGGGGAACACATACTGGTGGTCCTTTAAAATGAGGTTTTGAGCCTCGACTTCTACCACTTTCGATTCTGGCGACACATGCTTTCTTGCACTATTTCGCAAGTGCTTGACATACCTGTCGGTTAGGTCGAGCGAGCCGGAGTTGGGGTTGTCCGTCATATCTTGTGCGCTTTTGGTTGTCCAAACTGTTCGCGAGCGTGGGTGCGGCTGTTTGAGGGCTTGTCGTTCTTCTTTGGCCAAAATTGTAGCTTCTGGGTGGGGGGTTTCCCTCAACTGTTCGGCGACACTAATTCACCTCGACATCGACAGATTCCTTTGAACATATAAGCGTTGAGGAGCGCTCTAAGCGTGCGGACGATGGCTCGCATGGAGGTAGCAAAAATGCTTGTTAGGGATATAAATTGTGGGCGCCCATCTTCACGGGGCGCCAATCTTTATCAGGCTGCTAATTTCTGTAGAGGTACAGTTTAGGTACGGTGCCTAGTTAGGACCACCCCCCTCTCCCCACCTCACACCCCTCCGTCCGCCATGGTTCGCGTGTACAAGCCCCTGCAAGACTAGTGCTGCAAGCGAAACAAGGCGACGACGTGCGGCTCAATGGGCCGCATGCAATGGTTCGCCAAAAAGAACGAGACGGCAAGCCCGCCCGCTTTCACTTTCCCTCCAAACACATTCACCACAACAGTGCACCACAGGCTCACGTCGCAAATACGCAACCATGAAAGGAATGAAAGAAAAAGGGAATGAGACCGGGCTTTCTAAGTTACCGGGCAGCCACCTTTTTATACTCGCCCTACTCCTATACTCAACATCTGCACGCAGAGCCGAGCCATCCATCACTCAAGGGGATAGCCTGCCTGGGGTACGGTACGGTACCGGGAATGGTACCCGAGCTAGGCAGGAATTTTTCCCTACTTTGTGGGTAGGCTGACAGATGACATGTGGGCAAACCCCTCGAAATACTCTCGACCATCAGCCTCTTCACATCAGCATTCTCGCCCGATATTTGTAGCCTTGCATGCTAGCTAGGTAGCCAATTCCCGTCCTTGGTCGACCCCGCCAACTGCGGCTCCGTCGTTCAATTCCATCAAGTGAGGCCAGGACTAGGCATCATGGCTTCACTGCAACGTGCACCTCGCCCTTGCCCTCAAGATCATACACATGCGACACATAAACAACCATTTGGTAGGCCCAATATTGCCTCTCCAAGCGTCGATTCCTTGGCCTCCATTCCATCCTCGGTGCCTGCCCACTCTCCTTCCTACTCAGGGTCTTCCTCCGGGTCCTCAGTCCCTTGTCGAGCTGGAGTCTCCTCAGCCACCGCCACCCCGCAATCCCCACATCGGCCAACCCTTACACATTTGCGCATCCAGCCCAGCGACCGAAACTCAATTGCTCTTCCTACCGACCACGAATGGACAAGGAATCCTCAATGCCTTGATTCGATGTGAGATCGACCGTCGGGCATTACCCCGCAGGTTGCGCAATCTACAATGCTTGGGTGGGGGTGGTTGGAGGCGTCTGCTGTCAACCAATCAACTTGCCCGACGGCCTTGATTTTGCAAACCATGCTCAAGTGTGAGGTCAGAGAGAGCAGTTCATGCACCTCTCATATCTCGCAGGCCTCCGACTCCCCAAGGTCACGGCACGGGCCGGCAGCTGCGCACCTATGTGCTCGCCTTGGTCTGGCGCGGGTGGCCAATTTCTGTCGGCCGGCGCGAGGACGTGTCGACGCCAATCATGCTGGCCACCCACCACCTCCTTTGCCGCCTGGCAACCACTATTGACCTACCGATGCAGCCTCTGCAACATCTCTGGCAACAATTTATTGCCTCAACCTGGATGGATGGCCCTCGGGGCGGCCGGTTGGCTCCCCAGGCAGCATAGCGACCCGGCTGAGGCCGCTCGAAAGAGTGCTTGGCGCCAGCCATCTCGCCAGCTATGATCCGGGGCTTCTCTTTGGGTGGCTATTGCTTTCACTTCACAACCAACTACTTCGCGGGCGCCTTCAACGCCCAGAGGAAAGGCAACCGCGTCGACGACTCCTACTCTCTCACCGACCCGCCCCTCTGACCCTATATACACGAGGGGGGTGTTGACGGGGCGAAGATGGCTGACTCCTCGAGGCTGTGGGACCATGGCGGACATCCCCCCAAGCCTCTGCTGCCTAGCAGGCCGCTCTACTCGGCAGTTAACTGCACTTTGGGAAACTGCCGCCATGGGAGCGAGTAAAGATGTAGGCGGCGTGAAGCTCTGTGAATGAACTGCGGCGTAGTTCCGTACCACAAGGCTGCCCTGGTAACTGGTGGATGACACTGATATTTAGCTATGAGTCACCTGAAGAAAGTCCTCTGTCACATCGTCTCATATTTTCCGTCTCCGCCTATCAAGGTGCCTCTTCCTAAGGGATGGATAAGCTAATTAGGCAGCAGCGGGCAGTTTAACCCTATTGGGATCTGTCAAGGAATCAGAAGCAGGCGTTGTATAGTGATGAATAAACAAAATACAAAGATTCTATTACATATTTTGACCGCATGGTAGGAGCAAAGTTCTGGCCGAGCATGATAGGGTCTTATTCCGCGGCTCTTCTTGATGCCTCATATCACCTCTGCCTCCCCATGTCTTGCCCACCCCCCCTTTCCATGTCTTGGGTATCGCCGCATGCAAGACGGAATCTTCCAGAAGCCAGTAGCTAGAAATAGAACTTTCACAAGCTCGGGAGTGTTGTTTGTGCATGCAGGTTTGCTTCCCATAGCTCCGCGGCTAGGTTGAACACGTCCGACTCTGTTTCCACCTGGTTCACTTTCAAAACCTGTTTGTAGTTTGGCCGGAACATACTTGTATCTGCACACGTGTATACTATGCCAGATTGTGCGCCCAAATCCTGCGTTATTTGCTCGGCATATACGGAGCCTTTCCGTAAATCCCTGATTAAGCGAGCCGAGCTATAAGATTGTGCCACGTCCGCCCCGTAGCATGGTATCGATGCCCGTGTCAGACTATCATCGCTGCACTGGGCACACATAGCCTTGCGTCGCCTTAAAACTGCCTTCAGAATCAAATGATTGGGGATTTTTTGATTCTATCTCTACCGGGGAGGGCCTCGTGCGTCGCCTTTGGGTGCTTTTGGGCTAGAAGGCCTTCCTTTGCAGCTCTGCGTTGTCATGATGCCCGAGCAGGAACGGGGCTTATCGCTAAGGCAGTCCTAATCCAGAGGCACTTCTGGGCTGACGATGTGGCAGCCATCATTGGGGCCTAGATGACACTTGCTCACTTGGCCTTGAGTAAAAGACCGCACCACGCCACGAGGTGTAAACTAAAAGGACCGATACTATTTGCATACCGTTATCAAATGGGATTTGATTCCCTGACATCGGGCTCGGTTAGCTGCGGTATTGGGGTGCAAACGCCGGAAGAAGCCCAAACGAGATGTCACATGTTGTTGGTTTAAGCTAATAAACTCGACTGCATGTGACACATGGATTTGTGCTTCAATTGGACTTGGAGGGACGGGTAATGCAGCCTGAAGAGTTTAGGCTCCAAAGGTCGCCGGCTTGTTTGATAGACCAGTCACAGGCTTTCTACCACCGAGCAGGTGGTCGGTGTAAGGGAAGAACAGCAGGGGTCAAGCAGCAGTCAGGCTCCAACGCCGAGTTCTATGGAAGAGAGTGGCGTCGGCGAGGCGGCTAATTAATTTCCACGTATAGGACATGTCTCCCGCCTCATTGCTCTGCCAAGCCCTGCGCGGCTTTGCTGTGACCGGTGAGGCCATCGAGGTGGGCCGGGCCGAAATAGTGGCGGACTAGCTTCTGGGGGGTGTACTATGGTTGGATATGGGCAGGGCCACATGGCGCAGCCGGTGAAACAGGACACACATATGAGGGTGATTTCTCCCCGATTGCCTTGACCGCTGAAGCATACACCTTGTGCTGGATATAGACTGTCATCCAGTGCCCCTGGATGCCCCTGGAAGTCGCCGGGTAGCTGCATATAGTGTTAGCCCGAACACCTGGCTTACGGGCCGTCGTCTCCTTGGGAGTCGAGGGGTCTTTGCGTGGTGATTTGGCGTCAGCTCAGTGGGGCTTCGCGCCAGGTCCGCCAATGGGGAGTCCCGGTTGAATCTGTTTGGTACTGGGCATGGTCGGGGCGCAACTGCCCTGACAGATGCTTCGATTCTCGAAGGACTCGAAGCCAGGGCACCTCAAGGCATATCAGGGACGGAAGTTTGTCTAGCCCCTTTTCCCAGGACCGTGGTCCGTTGCAGTCTTGTGACGAACCAATTGGGCCACCGTGCCAAAAGCGAAGGCCCCCGCTTAGTAGCTGGTAGCTACCAAGTGGGTCTATATCCTTTTGCCATCTGCCTCTCAAACCACGACCCAACCCTCAGCTTTCCTGTCGCTCGCCGACTGAGGCACACCAAACGCCCGTAGCGAGGGCTCTCGGAATCTCAGAGGACCAGGATATAATGCGTCACGACACCGTCGCTGCCGCTCGCCTTGACCGGCGCGGCAGGTTTTTCCTTGGAGGAAGTTCCCTCAACCCAACCGCACGCCCATCCCGCAACGAGCCCGAAGTCACAGAATAACAGCACTTGCAGGAGAGAGAGAGAGAGAGAGAGAGACGAGGCTTGGTCCTGTGCTCTTTCCGATACCAGCCACATCGGCGCGCGTACTCACACCCGATAGGAGGACCAGTCCTCCATATCGGGGCTGCTGCCAATGGTTTCACTGCCGATCGCTCGGCACAAACGAAAGCCCTGCGGTCGATCTACGCCCAATGGAAACAATCTCGCCACTGCTTCAGCGGACGGCCTGCTGCATACCGGTCAGCAACCGTCCTTGGCGCGTACTTCGTTTGGAGCAAACGTTACCGCCTGGACTCGGGTACGAAGGCTGCCTCATCCAGCCTGCTACCCAGTTGCACGACGTTGCTCTTGGGGCAAAATTCACATGCGTTGGGGATTGCCGGTGCCCAGCCAGCAAGAAGACGACAACACAGGGCAGGGCGGAGGGGCGATCGACACGAAGATGGGCGGCCATCCCCATCTGCCGGGCGCAAAAGAGGCTCTCGAGCAGGCGCAGAATGCCCAATTTTCTACGGGCATAGAAAGGAGGCAGCGCTCCGTGGAGCATCCGTCAAAAAAGGCAACCGTGTTGAGGGGACGACGCCTTTGGGCAGATGTGCTGAAGGACTGGCGGGAATACTGGGCCACGGGGAGGCAGGGCAGCACATGCACATGCGCGATGTGTTGTCGAGTGGCCTTTTATATACCGAGGACCCGGGCGAGGGGGGAAAGTGAGCAGGTTTTGCCGTATGGGAGGACAGGAAGGGGAAGGATACCCGGGGAGAGACGTAGGACACAACCTAGGGATCACAGGGCAACCGGGCAACCGGAGATTCTCGGCCCGAGCTGTGTGGTTCTTTCTCACTCAACCGGTAAGAGAGGGTGGGCTTTAGGGCTCCGCCTCGCGGGCCTTAGGGTTTAAATCCGACAGCACTAGGGAGGCGATAATGACCACCCCACAGCAGCCAACCCGACATGTACCCTTGGTTGGCAGGAAAGAGCCTCGGGAGAAGGTATATCCACTGTGGAGTTTGCGTCTTCAAGCAAACCTACGGTGAAGATTTACAGCACAGGGGTAGAGCGGTGTGATAAAAGCCTGCAGCGGGGTACCAAAAAGCAATACAGTTCCAGCCGGTCGGCCCCAGAAGATAGCAACGGCAGCAATGAGATAATACCATACCCACGGGCCGGAAGCAGTCGGCCGGCACCGGTGTGCCATGTTCTAAGCGCGTGTAGGGCTAGAGATGGAGTAGTGCTGCCAAAGACGAAGAAATCAAGGCCAAAGGGTACGCTTATGCAGCCCAGTTTGCTATATGACACGTACTACAGGTGGAACGGACGCCCTGTTGGACACATGCTGAAGATCCACTCGATCTCCTGAACAGTGGAATGGCGGGCGGATCGAGACCAATGACGCGTCTAGATAAAGCAAGCCGCTTTTATCTGTCCAGCCATCACTGTTGTCACTGCCCGATCATGAGGCAACTGGGCTCCGTGGGCTCCGTCCACACTGACCGGCTCGCTTCGCTGCTTGGGTAGCCACCCTCGAGGAAGCCCTATTGCCCCAGCCCTAACGCATAAGTGCCCAAGCCCTGAGCTTGGGCATATTGTCTAGCTCAGTTTCTGCAAAACACATGGGCCCCTGGGGGACTGGACCTACTTTTTTCTTTTCTTTTTGTGGTAGCGAAGGCCTGAAGCTCACGCAGTCACCAACCACCAGCGAGTGCCTACATGGCAGTTGCCTCGAAGCGGCCCAAGAGGTCTAATCAAGCCCAAGGCGTCGATGTCGAGCTGCACTGCGGACTCACTCCATGGGCTATAGTACTGGTCGCCTCTTGGAGAACTCCGGATGCCTGAGAGCCACTCTGGTATGCTTGAGTGCCATGGCGGGTGCCCGGCCGGGGAGACAGAATGGAGCTTGCAGGGTTCGTCTCATGAAACTATCTGGTTGGCTCTGAGAAGGAGAGGGGCGCCGGGGCCCGACAACACCCCCAAGATATCAACAAGACTACGCAATACACACCCACATCCTACGGAACTTACCTTTCCCAGATCACTACGCTATCACCAGCTCCACACACACACGGGGACCAACCCCCCAACTCCCCACCCCTACCAGCCGCCGCCCGCCGCCACCTCCTCCTCCGCCTCCGTCTCCAATATCCCAGCCACATCTAGCTCCAAACACAGCTCGGCCTCGTCCCCGAGCCAGCCCAACAGGCCCGACAGCGCCCGGGGTGGCAGCCGGTGGCGCAGGCGCAGCAGGCACTCGAGCGCGGCCTCGCGGCGGGCCAGCCACGCGGCGCGGCCGTCGGCGTTGTGCTCGCCGGCGCGGCGGCGCGCGTGGATCCCGACCAGGTAGTGCAGCACCTCGTGGGCCGCGCGCGCGATCCCCGCCATCACGGCCCCGCCGTCCGTGTCCGTGTCCGTGTCCGTGTCCGTGTCCGCCACCACCACCACCACTTCCTCCAACCTGCCGTTGATGTTGATGCCCCGTTGCGCCCGCCGGTGCCGCTGCCGCCGTTCCGCGCCCCGCCGCGCGCCCTCGGCCAGCAGCGCCGTGGCCAGCACGTCGAGCAGGTGCGGCGTCGAACCCGGGGTCAGCTCGTCGAGGGGCCGCGAGGCCGCGTGGGAGGCGAGGGCGCGCGCGAGGGCGCAGGCGGCCGAGGCGGCGCAGCTGCTGCTGCTGCTGCAGGTCGAGTCGTCGTCGTTCCTGCCGGGCCGCCGCAGCGCCACGGCCATGACGGTGCCGAGGCGGGCGACGGCGTCGCGGTCGAGGGCCTGCGGGCCGCCGCCGTTGGGTGGTGGTGATGACGGCGGCGACGGGTCGACGAGGCTGGCAAAGGTGAGGCGGCCCAGGTGGAAGCACAGAAAGTTGTCCCAGACGACGTCGGGCGGCAGCTCGGCGCGGCCGCGCGAGGCGCGCGCGAAGACGTAGACGAGGGCCCTGCTGAAGAAGCGGAGCGTGGCGTGCGGCGTGATGTTGCACATGGGGTCTACCCCCGTCTTTTCGATGCTTCTGAGGCTGTTGATGGTGGGGGTTAGGCGCCGCCCGAGGGGTGCCAGCACGTTAGAACACACACAAACATAACACAGGTACGCAAAGTCTCTTCCCCTTTTTTTTCCTTTACCTCTCCCAGTCCCCAAAGAGTTTCCCCCAGATCCGGTCGTCGATCTCGTCCGCGGGCCGCTCCATGATCCAGTGGAACAGGTCCTGGTACGCGCCCGCGAAGAGCTCGGCGTAGCTGGCCCGGAACCGATCCGCCCCGCCGCCGTCGTCCAGGACTGTGACGCTGTGGCTGCACAGGGACATGAGCGAGAGCGTCAACCGGATCCGATCGGCCGCCGAGTCGGCCCCTTCCGAGTCCGACGGGGACGAGATATAGAGGCTGCGCTCCATCTCGCACAACGTTTCCTCGAGGCTTTTTGGCCAGCGGGCTTTTTTTTTCAGCGGAAACCCCCTCGGAGGAGGAGGTGAAGCGCAGTTCCACCCCTGTCGCGTCCCTGGAAGTCCAGCGGTTCGGGGAAACGCACCTGAACTCGGCATCATCGGTTTCTTGCTTGGAGGAGGCCGTCGCCATTGTGACGGTCTCTGCAGGGGGTGTTAGGCGTGGCCGTTCAGGGACAGGGGCACTGGTTGGAACTGCACCGCTCTGCGACAGGGCCATGTAGTAATCCAACGATTTCCGCTGCTTCACCCAAGGGACAGGGCCAACAGACAGCCGCCAGCGATTTAAATACATGCCCGCACCAGGGCAAAGAAGCACACCGTCACGACGGGCATCCCGAATCAGAGACTCAACCAAGGGGGAGCAGAACTGTAGGGACACGGTGGATATCGCGCCACATTCACGCGCAGCCCGTGATTAGATCCTCGTTTCCTCACCGGCCTCGCTCAGTCTCTGGGCTTGGCCTGCATGTTCTGATGAAAGTGGCGTTTCTCCCAGTCTGTTGGGGACTTCCCCCCTGCACGGCTGGGAGGTTGGCGTGCGGGGAGAGACAGACGGGGAAACGGCGCCGGCTCCAAGATAAGCCCAGGAGGGGTTCTCGCAGCAAATAGCCGGAGTGGCAGAGCAGAGCAGAGCAGGCTGGGGTATTCCGAGCTTCATCTCGTCAGCCCTGGTTGGCGTCCCTAGTTCCATTCATGTACGTGTGGCATCTTCTGACATATAGGCTTCCCGTCATGATCGTGTCTAGTAGGGAGAATCATGCTCTGCTCCAGCTCGTGTCTCTGCGTCCACCCAACCATGACACTATCCGCTTGGGCAAGCAGTCGGGCAGGTGGGTGACGCCGTCCAAAATCAGGTACGTAGACAGTATCCGGATCAACAAGAATGACAAGTAGTTCAATGTGCAAGCCACGCCCAACACCGAATGGATCCAAGCTAAAAATGTATTTACATGTACAGTGTACAATGCAATTATGAGCAGATATTGGCAGATGCAAACAAACTGGGTACAAGAAATAACAAATGTCCGAAAATGCAACATAGGTCAGCTAGGCAGCGAGCTAGATGGCCAGCGTTCCATGCCTAATGCGGCCTGACAAGAAACGTCGTGCCACGATCCCCGTTTCCCATTGGCAGCCGTTTTTCGGGCACCGAGGGTATGCAGGACCACGAGCAGCCCCGCGAAATGAACGGCACCGGATCGCGATCAGCTGCACGAAACGTCAAAAGCCGCGGCTCCGGCTCCCCGGACGTAGAGACCGAGCCCCTTTGGGCCGTGTACTCGCCCAAGTACCACCACTCAACCCACTGCGTCCTCGGAACCACCATGCTACGGCCTTTGCACCCAGGACGGGCGCAGCGATAGCTGTCAGCCTCGCCACGCTCCTCCGCGAGGGCAAGGACCCGGAGCAGATGCTCCGGTGTGGTCGCAGGCATCAGTGACCGCAGGTCGGCGTTGGCAGCTACAGCCCTTCTGCAGGCCTGTAGGGACAGCTCTAACAGCCCGCGGGGCCCGGCGGGGCAGTCCGGTGCCGGGAGCGCTGGCGAACTATCGTCAACCTGGGCTAGCCGTGCCGACGGCGGGCCGGCCGGCTCGGCAAACATGTTCTCCGTCGGGAGCCCGTCGCCATCGTCGAGATCAAAGGATGACGTGTTGAGGCCAGTGTTATCAATGTACTGAACTGGGGAACGGGCGGCATGACAGGCACCAGCGCGCTTCAGCTGAAAATGCTTCTCCCATTCTTCATCAACCGGGCAGGCCGTCCACACCGAACACTCCCCGCCGTGATCGCCCCAAGGATTCTCCCGACGGCGAGCCGAAGATGGTCCTTGAAGCTCGAACCCTCTTTGCTGTCTTGTGTGAGCCGAGCCGAGCAAGCCCTCCCGGTTGGCTGATCGAATCATCTCGGGCTTGCAGAAAGGGTTGGGATGAAGCTTGAAGTTGTCCAGGTTGTCTCTGGGCATCATGAGGTCAAGTAGCTCTCGGGGGAGCCAGCGCAGGTTGTTGAAAGATAGGTTAAGGTACTCCAAGTTCCGCAGCTGCGCAATACATGGCGGGAGCTCTACGAGTTTGTTGTTCCGCAGACTGAGGACTGTCAAACAGCTCAGATCGAAGACAGCAGCGGGTATCCGGGTCAGACGGTTGGCGCCGAGAAACAGCTTCAACCGGGGCTCCCCACCCTCAAAGGGGACACCTTCGACCACAGTCGGGATCAGATGGAAGCCCTCAAGTGGTTGCACCGTCGACGATGCGAGCTCATCAAGCCCCAGGTTCCTGGCGCAACGTGTTAGCATGGCCAAGTCAGGGCAGGCCGAGAGAGAATAAAGAATGGCAGGCTCACATGAGGTCAATCTTCTCGTCTCCCTCATCAATACATTTCTCAATGATCTTCTGCGCCTTGGCCTCCGCAGGGGTGACATTGCGGAAGCTTGCCGCCCTGTTGAAGTCATTGCTCACACGCTGAGTCGGGTCCATATGCACAGGCCCCGCGCCCTTGGGGTTGGCGTCGATGGTGTCGTCGCTGGCAAGCCAGACGCCACTGTCCAGCTCCCGCCTCAAACCCTGGCGCATGCCAGTGGCGGTCGGGACAGGGCCGGCCTCTGACGACAGCAGCTGCGACTGCTGGAACCATGTACCAGCCCTACGCTTCTTCCTGTGACGGCCATTTGCATAGTTGTCGACAGACGGGTCATCGTCGCTGGAGAAGATGGCAGGCTCGCTGGAATCGGTCCAGAAATCCGAGGGTGCTGGGGCCTGGAACCTGGCCCGTTTTCTCAACTCTTTAAAGGACGGCAGCACAGGCTCGGGCTGGTCGTTCTCCATGACGACGGCAGGGGGGTTCGGGCAACGGACAGTTAAACAATAGGGCGGTAAATCAACAAGTACAGCCAACGTTGGAGCCCATATGTATCACTGCCGACTGCCGAAAGAATATATGTCTGAGATCGGACCGAAGCCTTGCACGCGACTCAAGAGGATCAAGAAAGGCAATTACTGAGACGCTGAGACGCGTCTGGCCAGAGCATGCGGGGTTGGAAACTTAAAAAGGACGCGTGGTCCGTGCGTGAAGACGCGGGCACGCGGGCCCAGCCCGCAGGTCACAGCGCCTAAACCATCACCAGACTTAGTTTGCTGGAGATTGCTGACCGCAGGTGCAGCGGTGACAACTCCCTGAGGAGCCGAGGTGGTAAGCCTATTGAGTGCGTGTTTGCGTGTGTGCGAATGGAGAGCTGCTTGTGGCGCCTGGTCTCCACAGAGAGCGCCTCACTAGCTGCAGCCTGCCCCTTGGCTGGCGCTCTCTCCTCGTCGGCCTCGGCGCACGGCATTGGGCGATCGACTCCAGACATGTTTCAGTCCCAATCGTCGTCGTCCTCGTCGTCCTTCCTCCTGGAGCTCCTTAGACTCTTGCCGCCGCCGGCCAGCCTCTCCTCCTCGGCGTCCTCGGCACGCCTCCTCCGCTGCAGCACCCGCATGTCCGTGTCCGGTACGGCGCCGACCTCGACGAGGATCTTGTCCAGGTCCAGCATGCCCATGCGCACGCCGCCAACCGTCATGAGGGTCACTATTTGCTTGACGATGTCGCCGTTGCGGTACACGAGTATGGTTGGGCAGTTGCGGTCCGGGTAGCCCTCGATGGCCTGATCGGCGCGCATCTCGCAGAACTTGACCTCGCCGTACTCCTTGGCCGCCTGCCGCCAGAGCTCCGAGAGCACGCGCGACTCGGTGTTTGTGCCGACCGACGACACCAGATTGACGAGGACGGGTCCGTTGCTCGATGCCTCTGTCACGGCGCGCTGGTACTCGGGCTTGGAGAGGGGGTAGACGCTGCCGTGTACCGATTTTTTGCTCAGCTCGCGCATCTCTGCCATGCGCTTCTGCATGTACTGCTCCATAAAGGCCTCATCCTCTTCGTCCTCCAGCTCCTGGAGCTCGTCCATGTCCTTGCCTTCTAACCGGTTGTCGTGTGCAATTTTCCTGGCCTCCAGTATTGCTTCCTCGATCATGGGAGTCGGGTCGGGGGCCTTCTCTGGTATGATTTTGTGCTTTCTAAGGATCTCATTCCTGCAGCGGGTGTCAGCGACGCTGGTGCGCTCGCGGGAGGCCAAAAGAGTCTGGGGCGCCTGCGGCGTACCATTCTGTATCGGCATCGGGATCATCGATGGGCACCGCTATGCGCTGGTCCATTGGGGCGGCCATTTTGCGCGGTTTGGAGGGCTCTGCAAGACACAGTGGAAGAAGCCAGCAGTGGAAGAAGCCAGCAGTGGAAGAAGCCAGCAATGAATCGAATAGAAACAGCAGAGCGGGATGTTGGGTGCTGCCTGGTTGCGAGTTGAAGTCCGTTTTGCGGATGCCTAGCTGCAGGCAGTACTCCCTTACATCTGGTGACGCCGCATTCCAGCACAGCGGGGTCTAGCTTCTCCAGCTTTGCTCATCATGATCCAGGCTGAGAACCCCACCGTGGGGGTTGCCGTTGGCACCTTGGTGCATGCCTGAAAGCGATTGCACCCGCCGCTAACAGACCCCATGGCAAGTCTCAGTCTCAGTGGAGCCGCCCCTAGCTTACTCCCAAATCTGCATCACGTGTCGCCGTGGGCTAAGCCCTGAAAACGCAGGAGCGATGGCCCATGCGAGAAAATTCTGCCGCTTCGGCGACCCGTTTTGGGAAGGCAACCCTAACAAAATCCCGACTGTTTGCTATTCGCCCCCACCGCCTTTTGCCTCCACCTCTTTCCAAGGCGCCCTGCCAATTTCCTCTCTTTGCCGCACACCAAACTGGAACCACCACCTTTCCGTGAAAGCTGCAAATCTGCCACTCAAGCCATCCAGATTGTCGTTCAGCAACCTCTCGCTCCGAAAGAAACCACAGGGAATTTTTCTCTCAAATCAGTCAAGATGGTAAGGACCCTCTCCCGATCGTTTTTGTCGAGCCCTGCGCCGCTTTGGGGTGGCCTTCTTAAACACGACGATTGGCCTTCGCACCCACACCCAACCACCGCCCGCGAAGCAGCATCACAACATCATCGACCGGCACGACTCGAACGCACATCCATTTGAAGAGGAGGCACGCTGGAAGCCGGGAGGCGGACTGGTTTTGGGCTGGCTCTGTGGGTGCGGGAGCTGCGCAGGTTGTCCTGCGGGGTTGATGTGCCCATCTTGTTGGCTCTTCAATTGAGATATCAGAACAAACCTTTCGACATTGCACCTGACGCACCCACAACCGCCGGCACGCGGCCATCGCGACACTCGGCCTCGATGTGTATTTGATCTGGATTGTACACAATTGCTGACAGTTTTCCCCTAGGTTCTCGCTGTCGATCTCCTCAACCCCAGCCCGGCCGCTGAGGCTCGCAAGCACAAGCTTAAGGTGGGCATCCATGGCCCCTCCTCACCATGACCATGATAGACCCTCACCCAGCCCAGCGATACTGACAGCACTCGCCCATGCAGATTCTCGTCCCCGGCCCGAGGTCTTTCTTCATGGACGTCAAGTGCCCCGGCTGCTTCACCATCACCACCGTGTTTTCCCACGCGCAGACCGTCGTTATCTGCCAAGGCTGCACGACTGTTCTTTGCCAGCCCACCGGTGGCAAGGCTCGCCTGACCGAGGGCTGCTCCTTCCGGAGAAAGTAGACGATGGGGCGCGCCCGCGCATCAGCCTTAGTCTAATTTCTCTGTCATGTCAATCAACTTGGGTCCAGTCGACGCTTCGGTTCATTCAGCATGGGTCTTTCTCGGGTTACGGGGTTCTCTGCCTTTTCATGTTCATACGCACACGAGTATTATGTCGTGCTCACGGGGAGGGGATAGGGAAAACAAAAATCTTCTTGGGCATCCCCGCAGCCGGGGCCGAGCAAACCCCCGGCTGGCGGAGTAGGCGCGGTTTATCTAAAGAAAAAAAAGGAAAGAAAGCGTCCTCTTCACGAATACCACCGAGCCGCGGCACTGCACCGACACCCAAGCCGACGATCCCTTTCCACCATCCGTCTCGCTCTCCGTCTCCCGTCTCGAATATTGCTCCTTACTCCTGCCGGTGCGGATAGAAGATGGAACACCCAAAGTCTGGACCTCGCAAAAAAAATGTTTGCATAGGCACGGCGTTGTGGGGGTACCGGATATCTGGCATCAGAGTCTCTACTCATGTCAAGTCAAATCGTTGTTTTTCCGCTGCGGTGTTGATGTTTTTTTCTGTGATACTTGTGGTTCCCGAAAGTGACCTGACCCGACCCAGCTGGTGATGGTTTGAAGTGCGTGTATGCTGTAGCTCGAACAGCAGGACCTTACACTGAATATGTGATAAAGGGGCAGTCATAGCCGTATTTATATTTATATCCCAGGCAAAGATGGGGGGCCCGCAAGGTGACATGCAACCATTTGGGGAAAGTAGCATATATAAATACAAGAAAACGAGCCCAGACCCAGAGACCACTCCATCCCTTTCACACCACCATCCTACCGGCTCTCCGAGCCTTATCCTATGTCGCCCAATGCCACCGCCATAACCTGATAACCTGTGCGTGGTATAAGAAGCGTAAAAAGGAAAGATGGAAGAGAGGAGACAAAAAACCAAAGTGCTCGAGTAACGCCATGTCGTAAAAAATACAAATCCCCCGCTCGTCATGACACGCTAACGCGCAGGCAGATACGGGCCCAAAAAAAAAAAAGCAGACTATCATACGACAACCATAGCCCAACAAACCAGAGAGGTACAAAAGAAAACCGACTGAAGGCACTATCCACAGCCCGACGACGCCACCTTAGACGCCACCCATGTCCAGGTCGGGCGAGTACTGCCCGTAGTCGAGAAAGTCGGCCTCGGGGAAGTCGCTGGCCGCCACGGCCACTGCGCCCTGCTGCTGACCGCGCCCGCCCTTGGGCGGCAGCGGCGCGGCGGACGACCAGGGGTCGCGCGACTGGCGGGCGCGCGGCTCGGCGAAGACGCGGGCGGCGGGCGACGGCGCCTGGGCGAGTAGGCTGATCTCGCAGTCAGCAGCGGGGGCGGCGGGCTGGCGGCGCCAGGCGGCCCTGTCCTGCCGTCCGTTCACCACCTCGTCGTCGCTACCGCAATCGTCGTCGTCGTCGTTGTCGACGTACGTGCGCTTGCGGCTGCTCGCCGCCGCCGCCGCCGAGGACAGGAAGGAGCCGGTGGACCCGACCGAGTCCTGGCTGCTCGACAGGCCCGGCACGTCGCTGGCATCGGGCACCGAGGGGAGACCGCCGAAGACGGCCGTCGGCAGCGCCGCCGCCGACGCCGACGGGTCAAAGTCGGGCTGGGCCGACAGGCCGCCGACGTTGTGGATGCCGCAGAAGGGGAGCAGCTCGCGCGTGGCCGAGGTCCCCGGCAGGGGCACGTAGGACGAGGAGCGCGGGTCGAACGGCCGCTGCTGGTGGGCGTGGTGGTGCGGAGCGGTAGTAGCTGGGACAGGGGGAGGGACTGACGACGGTGCTTGTTGGGGAGCAGTGTGGTGATGGTGGTGGTTGTGGTTGTGGTGCACCGCCGCCCGCGGCTTCTGGGGCGCCCCGTCGGACGACCACATGGAGAAGTCGCAGCCGACGCCGTTCTTGTGGCCCTCGGCCACCGATTTGCGCACGCGCATGCCGACGCTGAGGAGGTTCGACTGCACCATGGCCGGCAGGGCGGGCCGCGAGGAGGGCTGTTGCTGTAGTTGTGGCAGCGAGCCGTCCTGGTCCGAGGTCTGGCGAGAGAAGAAGGAGGTGATCTGGCGCTGGGCCGGGTCGCTGGCCGCGCCGGCGAACTGGCGCTTGGTGCGAGGGGCCGACATGTTGGGCGAGGGATTTGTTGGTGTTGTTTTGGATTTCTTGTTTCTGCTCTCGAGGTCGGTTTGGAATAAATGTTTCCGAGGGGATGGTCGGTGCATGTGTGTGATGACGACTCTGAAGCTTGGGCAGAGGAGGTGACGGGACGGTTTGAGGGGCGCCCCAAGACAAGGAGTGACGTTGACGCCCCCGACTTATTATCAAAACGACAAGTCAAAAAAAGAAGCCGGATTTCTCCAGAGATGGGCAACAAAAGGAATGCCGTCTCCCAATAAGAGGGGTAGAAGGTCAGATAACGACCGTGTTTCGCTCGAGTCTGGCGTTTCGCAGGGCCTGTGTTGGGAAAATGGGCACCGACGCCCGTGGCTGAAACTGTATTCTTTGTGCCGCCCCTGGTTCGAGATCGAAGACGATGCAATGCGCCAAAATAAAAATCCCCTGTCAAAGACTCGAGAGGAGCTGTCCGTGCAGACCTTGGACTTTGAGGGAATCCGCGTCCCTGGCTGGTGTAGGGCTGGCTGGCTGGGCTGGGTTGGGAAGATGACGGAATGAGGCTGCACGGGACTGGGGAAAGGACAAAGGGGAGGTTGATGCATGAGTCGGCAGCCAAACAGGGCCAGAATGAAAAGGGGATGACGGATGCGGGTTGAAATTGGCCGCTTGCCATTTGCTGCGGTCGTTTTGGTGGAGACCCCTTGCCAAGAGCGCCTGCTTGGCAGGACAACGCGCTGATGGACTCTGAAAAAAGGACCCCGGGCGCGTCGCGTGGCATTCGCGTCAAGTGCTCCCGTCATGGTCATGGTGCAAGGGTCATCCCGGTTGGGAAATCATTCAAAAGTAAATTTAGCTGAGGCGATTGGCAAGTCAACGAATGAAATGGATAACGATTTCTGTTCTGCTTGCTGGGCTAATTCATTTCCACTTGGTACTCTGAACGTGCTAATTCACCGTTAAAACCTTTGGACTAGAATGAAGTGCGAGGCAGCGATTCTGTATCAACCCCGTGATGGATGGAAAGTTAACTATACAGTGAGCCAAGGCAAATAAGTCCGGATTCAGGTAGAGAGGGATGGGATGACATTGTGCGCCGCCATGATACTCTCCTCATCACTTAACTCTGGCAAAGCTTTGAAAAGTCACCGCGTTTGCTGCAATATCAGACAAAGTTGGGTATTACGCAGCAATTCAACCCGAAATGGCATGCTGTACAATGAGGTAGTCATGGACGGACCACATGGGACAGACACATTTCGTCACTGTTCAAAGCCCCCGGAAGGGATCCCTGAACTCGAGCAGGTCCCGCTGCCCGTAGAACTCACCCGCAACTGTGAGGATCATGTTAAGCGTGGCACGCATGTTCATGCGCGCGCGCAGGATCCTCGCCTCCTCGAGCTCGTCGGGCGACGGTCCGAGCTCCGGCTCGAGGTTGACGGGAGCCGCCTCGCCCTCGCCATCGCCCCCGCCCCCGTCCAGCTGGCAGAGGAGCCGTCGCCTTGCCGCCTCCAGGCCGGACTCGGCCGTCTTCGCGCCGGGGGCCGCGTCGTCTGGGGCCTGATCCTCGTCGACCTCGCCGTCCTCCAGGTCCATGGACTGGTCGTCGCTGTCGCCATCCTTTTCCTGGGGCTCGGCCTCATCCGCGACCTCGCCCTCCTCGAGCTGTGCGTCCTGGTTGACTACAGCAGCGGCCACCTCTAACGAGGCCTCGTCCGGACCTACAGCCCCAAGCCCGACGTTTGTCTTGTGCGAATCCTCGACATCAGTAGACGGCCCGCACGCATCCTCCTCCTCATCCTCCTCCCGCCTGAAATCGCCGCCATCGTCCTCGTCCCCGCTGTCGTCCATCTCGACCGCCTCGCGCAGGGCCGACATGTGGGCCAGGCTGGCCATCATGGAGACGGCGCGCTTGCCCAGCTCGCGCACGGCGGCGACCTCGACGTGGCCGAGCTCGCCGGCGTCGGGCAGGCGTGCAAGCAGCGCCCAGAGCCAGCGCGACGTGCGCTCGCCCAGCTCGCGCCCGCGCTTGAGGAACCCGCCCGACAGCAGCACGCGCAACAGCCGCAGCGCCCCGGCCCGGTCCATGGCCGCCACCTGCACGGGGCTCGGATCCGTGTCGCGCAGCCGCGCCCGCCACACGGCGTGCGCCCTGCGGCCCCGCTCGCCCGACCCGAAGTGCCCGACCTCGAATCCGTGCGCGTCGTCGTCGAGCGCAAGGAGCGCGTCGTCCGGCGGCTCCGCGCGCACCACGGCCCGCAGCGCCTCAAAGCGGGCTGCGATGGCGTCGTAAAAGGCCTGGCGCACTCGCTCCTGTCGGATGTCGTCCTCCGAGGGCGAGCCCCTGCTGTCGTCGTCGTCGTCGTCGCCGCCGCGGGTCGGTGACAGCTGGGCGTCGGGGACCGCCGTGTAGGCGCCGTCGTAGTAGTAGCCGCGGTAGTCGCCCACGCCGTCGGTGTAGATGGATCGGTCGCACGGGCCGTCGTCGTTGTAGTTGAGGCCGTCTTGCGGGAGGGTCGGCGGGAGCTGCGGGCCCGCCTTGGGCGCGACGAGCAGGTGAGGGATGCCGCCTGCCTCGTGTCTATGCCGAAGCAAAGATACTTACCATATTAGCAATTGGGGGCTGGGGTTTTGGGAAGAGGGGGGGTTTTTAGCAACGAGGTTTGTCTCCAAGGGACGTAAAGAAAAAAAAACAGAGGTCGACTCACCGGACAGATCTGAGGTAGGCGAGAGCATCGGCCTCGTCCTCGACCTCGAACTCTTCGTCGCTCGAGGGCGCAGTAGGCCCGTCAAAGTTGGCAAAGACGTATCGCTGGCCATAAGTCTGGTCGATCTCGGCCTGGCTGGCGTCGGCGGTGCGAGCTGGGCGCTGCTTCTTAGTTGGCCCCGGTCGCGGGCTGTCCTCGGCACCAGGGCTGCGATTCCGCTTGAGGCTCTCCATTGCGCATGTTTTTGGAGAGATCTGCTCCTTTTGCTGGCTCTGTCGGTGGTTGCTTTTTTTTTCTGCGGGCAGAGGCGGTGGAAGAGTTCATGTTCAAATCCGACTCGGCTGTCTGCCAGGCAGGTGCGACATGCAATTCAGTCGCCGGTGACTCTACAGTATGCAAGGATAGTAAAGGTGGCACGTGTGGGTCCTTCCTAGCTGGGCAACGTATTCGGTGACATATTTTCTCATACAAAGTCCTGCCAAATCAATGTATCGCTACCCGCACCACCTCCATTGCCCAAACCTCGCTTGAATGCTCTACTTGAAACCCCCGCCCGGACCCAATTTTCACCGATATCAACGACGCCCACAATCAACACGTGTAATCCGGGCGACCAATCTGCACACCGCGATGGCTTCAATTCAACACACTTCAACGCCGGCAATCTGCACCGCCCTACCTTCAATTTACACCGCGATGCCTCCAATGCCTTCCCAACAGCAGGCCCAACCTCGCGTGGGCGCGCGCTGGGCGCCCTACCAACCGCCGCCGCCTCGACCCTCGGGCCCTCCAGCCGCCTGCCCGCCGCCGCCGCCGCCGCCGCCGCCGCCCGCCCTCATTCCTCGGCCCTCGACCCCTCCCGCCCTCCCGCCCGCCGCCCGCCCTCCCTCGACCCCTCCTCCCAAGCAGCAACGTGCCAAGGAGCTCGATCGAGATACCAAGATCGAGGTACGGGCTCTTAAGAAATACCTAGGCCTTTCCTATGTAAAAATTGCCCAGGTGATGGGAATCACTTACCGCCAAGCCGAGCGCGCCTGCAAGGGCCCTCTCACTCCCAAGAAAGCGGGCAGGGTCGGCGCTACCAAGAAGGCTACCGAGGAACACATTCGCGCCATGCGGAGCTTTTTGGAGGACCCTCGCAACCGCCGGATTCCCTGGTGTCGCCTCCGGTTTTTAGTCCCTGGCTTTGAGGGTTGGGGTGACACTGCAATGCATTCTTTACTTACTTCCCTTGACTATAAACGAACGCGCCCGGGTGGTCAGCTTCCTCCTACGCCTAGCACAGGGGCACAGGTGGGAGGGGCACAAGTGGGGCCGCCCAACTTGTCGGGAGACCGGACAGGAGATGATGACGGAGATGATGACGGGGGGACGGCAGATGATTGATGACCCAAGCTCAAGCTTTCTAGATTATCTGGCCGGCACCCAAGTAGACAGAAACGGTACTCGGCAATGCGGAGCTTGTCGTTCCTTGAATTTGTTCTTTTTGTTTTCAGCTTTTTTTCTATTCTGGTTTCGGAGCTATTATCCTTGCTCCCCCCACCGTCCCCTCCTTTTCTTACACTACAGACAACCCCCTAGGACGAAGCAGCAGGCGCCTCGGCGGTCTCCTCGGTGCCCTCCTCAGGCGGCCCGTCGCGGACGCGCGCGGGCGTGCGCGGGTAAAAGGCCGAGTACTGGACGTTGTTGAGGTTGAGGAAGAACTGCACCACGCGGTCGAGGCCGATGCCGCCGCCGCCGTGGGGCGGCACGCCGGCCTGCCTGAAGGTGTTGACGTAGCCCTGGAGGCCCTTGGACTTTGGATCGAGCCCCTTGCGCCGCATGCGCTTCTCGAGCAGCTCCGGGTCGTGGATGCGCTGCCCGCCCGACATGATCTCCTGCCCGCGCATGAAGAAGTCGTAGGCGTTTGTGACCGAGTCGTCGGCCGGGTCCTCCATGGTGTAAAAGGGCCGGGCCGACTCGGGGAACTTGTCGAGCACGTAAAAGTCGGTGCCGAACTTGCGCCGTATGATCTCGCCCAGCGCCTTCTCCTGCGGCGTCGACATGTCCTCGTCGTCGCGCACGTTGCGGAACTCCTCGGGGCCCTCCTCGCGCAGAAGCTTCTGGCCCTCGGCGAACGTCAGGCGCACCTCCTTACCGGGCTCGGGCAGCGCAAAGTCGTCGGCCGGGAACACGGCCCGGACCGTCTCGATCTGCTCGGGGCACTGCTTCTTGAGCTCGCGGAAGATGTGCAGGAGCACCTCCTCGAGCATGTCGCGCGCCTCGTGGTAGTGCCACTTGATGACCATTTCCATATCGAGTCCGGTGAACTGGAAATACGTTAGCCTTGATGTTTGCTAGAAATGGACAAGACATGCAAAGGAAAACCAACCTCGGTCATGTGTCGGGGCGTGTTCGAGTTCTCGGCCCTAAAGACGGGGCCGACGCAAAACACGCGCTGCCTGCCGCCCGCGATCTCGTACTGCTTGTAGAACTGGGGCGACTGCGCCAGGTAGACCTTTTTGCCAAAGTAGTCGGCCGAGAAGACGTTGGCGCCGCCCTCGCTGGCCGCCTCGATGATGCAGGGCGACTCGAACTCGTGGAAGCCCTTGTCGCGCAGGTACGACCGGAACAGATGCTTGGTCGTCTCGCGCACATCAGCGATGGCGCTGCGCACGGCGGACCGTTTGCTGAGGACAAAGTAGTCGAGGTGCGTGTTGAGGCTGGCCGTGACGGCGGCCGCTCCGCCCTCGGGCGCCGCGTCCTCCTCGTTGGAGAAGTGGTTGTTGGCCGCCGTCTGCGTCAGCCCGAGCATCTGCGGCGCCGGGCTGAGGCAGAAGAAGCGCGAGATGTGCAGCTCGAACCCGCTCACGCGCACGCTCTTGACCGGCTCGGGCGCGCGCTTGACCTCGGCCTCGACCAACACCCACGCCTCGACGGAAAGCGACCCGACCCACTTGACCATGGGCCGGCTGACGGGCGCGCCCTCGGCCGACGCCGCCACGATGCCCTGCACCGCCCACGTGCCGCGCTCGCGCAGCTCCACGAAGCACATCTTGGCCCCCTGCATGCGCGAGTTCTGCAGGAACGCGAACAGGTGCACCGTCTTGCCCACGTCCGCTTCGCCCAGCGTCGCGAGGGAGATCTCGGGGCTCGTGAGCCTGCCCGCCGGCGCCGAGCCGCCGTAGTTGTCCTTGGCGAGGTCCTCGCCGCCGCTGCCGCCCGCCGCCCCGGCCGCAGATTGTGCCTGCCGCAGCGCCACCTCGGCCGCCTTGGCCGCCTTTTGCTCCGCCTTCTTGGCCGCCGCCGCCGCCTTCTTCAGCGCCTTCTTGGAGGGGCCCTCGGCGCCCTCGGCGCCCTCGGCACCCTCGGCTACCGCGGGGGCAGCAGCGGCCGCTGGGGCCTCGGCCGGCTTCGTCTCGGCTGGTTGTGCCTCCGACATGTTGGTCGAGTGTGCGTCGCCCGTGTTTCTGCCTTTCGAATTGAAGGCTGCCGACCGGTTTGGATTCGATTGGCGATGCTCTGCGTCACCTAGTTACCTCGCCAAGTTTAGGTGAGAAAATAGCACTGTCACCCTCGTCGCTTCGTTCTGCGTCGGGCGATGGATGCGTTTTATGGCGGGGTTTTTCTTTGGTGGGGTGACTCGATTCTCAAGACGGGCAGGCAGTTGCGTCACACCGCGGCAAATCTCACATGACTAAGCCGGTGAGTTGGAAGGAATAGGGGTAGCAGTTGGACAACACGATGTTGACGCTGGATCGCGTAAAGTATCGCGATTCGGGGTTTGGATCCCGTTAGGTGTGTCAAGTTCAGGTGACGACATGGAGATATCATCTCCAGTTTAATAGAAGCCCACGCGCTACTGGGGAGTAATAGTTTGTCAGATTTGCGATAAAACTCCGAGATTGCGAAAACGCTCCTTGTATCATTATTGTATTAAGCAGATGGGCAACCTAGACGACTGGCCTCATGAGAATTGACCGAAAGAAAAAAAAAAACCGTATAAGCACGCCGGTATAGACCCCTCCTCTCTGGCGTCCCTCCAAGAAAGGAGAAAAAGCGGTCATGTATCCCCCTCATCAACCAACCCAAGGGTAATGAAATTAGGCACAACAAGAACGTATCAAACGCAATGAGCCATCGTGAAGCCATCGTTACGCTCGTGCTGACCCTGTCCAGCCAACCATACGGCGTCTCATCGGACCGCATACAAATACCTCGTACACACACGCTGTCGTCCATTTACGCAAATGTGCGCCTCTCTTCACTCTGTAACTCGGTCGGCCTTGGAGCAGCGGAACAGGTTGACGTGGTGGTCGCCCCGAGCGGCGCAGCCTAGAATCATGCGATGCGGGTGGAATGCCGTGGCCGATATCGGAAGACCCCTGTTCTGGAGGAAGCTCGAATACGGCTCGACGCGTGAGAGCTCCTTGCCGTCGAGGTTGAAGACCTTGACCACGTGCGCGGAGGTGCCCCTGAATAAGATGTGATGGTTAGTGGACTGACCCGTCATGTGGGGAAACGGGCAAGGAAAAGACTTACACAGAGAACACAGGCAAGTGCTCATGCATGCTCGCCGTTCTCAGCGTGTCCGTCGTCGTCTGGAATACGTGCAGCGGCACATCGGCCCTGATGTCCCACAGCTTGACCCTGCCGTTCCGGCTGGCCGACATGAGCTCGCGCTGGCCGCCGCGCTGCATGGCCACGCTCTTGATCCAGACGCGGTCGCGCTCGTCCTTCCACTTGCGCACCATCGAGTCCTGCGGCCGCTGGCGCGTGTCAAACACCCGGACCGCGCCGTCTCCGAACCCGGCCACAAATATGTTGCCCGTCATCTGGTCCGACGTCAGCGACGTCACGCACGAACCGGACCGCGCCGGTATGTCCGTCACGCAAGCCTCCTGCGCCGCGTTCCAGACCCGGATCACGCGCACGTCTCCAGCCACCAGCACCGTCCCGCTGACCTGCTGCCAGTCAAACACCATGCCCGAGTTCACGTTGCTGGGCACCATATCCGTGAGCGCCCGCCAGGCCGACGCCAGCTCGATCCCGTCGTGGCTGTCGTAGTTGCGGTAGATACGCACCACGCCGTCCGACGAGCCCGTCATGAGAAATGCCTGATCATCCTCGTTGATGAACTTCATGTCGCTGACCTTGGAGCCCTCCGGGTTCCCGTTGGAGAAGCGGCAAAGCCTGCCTTGCTTCTTCCAGTCCCAGATCTGGATCGTATTGCCGTCGTCCGCCACAGCGAGGTGGTCCTCGTACTGGTGGAACGTTAGCTTCGCTGGCTGCGCCTGCGTGTTCATGATTCCGAGCTGGTTGTTCCATTTGTGGCTGCCGGCATGCGATTTCTGCGGCTGCGTCTCCCGGAGGATCCCCTCGTTCCGCGAGCGCCGCCACAACCTCTCATTGTACTCGGTGCTTCCCGGCTCTTCGGCCTCGGTCGACTTCATCTGCGGCTCGAGGAAGTACTCGATGGACCACGAGAGGAAGGTGCTCTCGATGGGCAGACCTGCAATTTCTGTGAAGCCACGCTCCTCAAAGCCCGCCGACACCGGCTCATTCGCAACGTTGTACTTGGCCTGTGTGGCATCATGGTCGTCCCGCTCCGGAGACATGGGCATGGCCGTGTCGCGTCCTCTCCTGCTCTTCTGGGATGGCGACCGCTGGAGGCCTGGCGACAGCTCGGGCGTGGCAAGCGCGGGTGCACCATCCACGTTGAAGAAGGGCGAAAACAGCGTACTGACGGTGCGGCGCAGGAGCCCAGGGGACTGGACAGGGGTGATGGATCCGTCGTTTACGAGAATGCTGCGCTGGCTGGTCGAGGTTTGCAGCCTTGCAGCCTGCCGTCTAGCCCGTCTCTGAATGTCGTCCATCAGTATCTGTGCCTGCGCCCCGACTGGAGACTGCAGCAACGTGTAGTGGACGTAATCCACGATTGTTGTTGCGTGACTCTGCACCTCGGGGTGGGGGTCGACGTTGAAGATCATGATATGCTTCCAGCAAGCTGCGATTATGGTGTTGTGCGAGAGGCCGTGTGCCGTCGCCTTGATCGTGCCGTCCTTGTTGCGGTCTTCAGCCTTGGCGTAATGGAGGCCCATCTTGTGATCGCGGCCGTCGGCACGAGGAGGGTGCATCAGGTACTCCTTTTCCTCGAGCAGATGCTCGTAGGCGGCGACGATGAATTTGGATTCGTACCGCAGCACAAAGTGCGAGAGGAAGACCAATAGCTCCTTGCGCACCATCGGACTGCCATCGTTCGCCATCTCAAGCACGGTCCACGCGATCGACTCCTCGATGCGTGCGACCTCGTCCGTCAGGTCGGGGATGCCCAGGAAAGTCGTCATGGCGTGAAGGACCGCCGCGCGCACCTCGCAGCACGAATCCTTGGTCAGAACCGAAAGCCTTGCGGGCGCACTCTCCCTGATGCCTCTCCACTTAGCCTCGGGCAGATCGTTCCACAGCTGGCTGATGCACAGACAGGACCACTGCCTTAGCAGAGGGTTCTCCTCATTCGACAGGTGGAACAGGCAGGAGCTCATGATGTCAGTCTGGTTGCAGACAGTTTGGCCGGGCTTGTAGTTCTTGCACAACATGGCCAGGATGAACGAACACATTGCCTTGTGTTCGTCGCTGTTCGCCACAGGCAGGCCCTCTGAAGGCCTGAGGATCTGGGAGAAGTAGTTGTAGCCGCTGTCCTTGATCAGGTCCTGCTGGCAAGAGAGGTCGACGGCGAGCACGCGCGTCCAGATGAAGACCATGACCGGCTTCAGTTCCGTCGCTGCAGATTGGAGCAACTTCAACACATAAGGGAAGATACCTATACTCAGTGCCAGCTGCACAGCCCAAGGACCAAGATCCAGGAAGCGGCCCAGTAGGATCAGCGCCCGAACCCTGTGTTGTTGGCTAAGCAGAACCTGCAGTACCACCGGGAGCTGGTCCGGAGGCTTCTGAAGCAACGCATCACCGCGCGTCAGGTAGACGTCAAAGGCCGTCAGCTGCTCGGTGAAGAAGGTGGAGTTCTGGTATTCGTAATCGATACCCTCCGCCTCCTTGCGCTCGAGCATGGGCAGCTGAGCGAGAGCCTGGTCGACAGCCAGATCCCAGCTCTGCCACAAGGGATGCTGCCTTGTGTCAGGAAGCTCCGGGAACGACTCCGGGTGACAGCCGTACACCGACATCACCCTCTGTGCGAGCAGAAAATTCCGAAACAGGGCTGCCACCATAAGGTCCTGGCGGAAGAATTTTCTGAAGAGGTGACGCGGCAGCGTGGTCCATGCGATGGTATCCGTAATAGCCGTGAAGATCCAGTTCAGCTCTCCTAGAGGAGTGCGCCTCTCTTGCAGACGGCCAGGGAGCTTCTTGGCTCGCTCTGGCGTGAGGTTGGTCTTTAGCGGGTTCTGTAGCACGAAGAACCAGAGAGCCATCTCGATGGGGGTGGTGAGACAGCAAGTAAAAAGGTCGGCGGGCAGCAGGGGGTTTGTCGGCAGATTTTCCTTCTTTCCGCATGCAGCCAGGTGGATGTAGGGTTTGAAGAGTGTCTTCTCGTAGTTGAGGTCTCTATCGGCCATCTCCTGCTCCTCCGTCTCGTGCTTCTCGACGAAGCGGTGGTAGTTGCTCAGGATGTTGCCAGCCTCGGAGCAGTCCCAGACAAATATCGTCGGAGCCTGAAGCCAGTGTTGCAGGTCGTATAGCGAAACAGGTATGTACTGCGTATAATTCTTGTTGAAGACCCAGATCTCGCCCGAGGCGGTGGGTTTTGGGACTCCGTGACCGTTGTAATGCAGCAGGACACGCTCGTCCTTGGCGTTTCGGCGCAGCGAGACACAGAACTTCTTCGTCTCCTCTATCGATGGGTCCAGATACTGCTTGTAGCGCGTGCGCATGGCAAGAGTCTCGTACTGCGACTGAAGCGCCTTGCCGATATTCTCAAGCGCCTTGGCGTTCGGAGGGGTGGTGGGATCCTGCCATGCTTCGAGCTTGGCGCCGGGGCTCGTTTTGAGCTGGTCTGGAGGCTCGACGCCGATATTCAGACATACTGCGATGGCGGCGGACACCGTCTTGAGACGGTCTCGCATGCGCCAATCCTGTATGACAAATGGGTCCAGCTTGGGCTTGCCGGTCGTATCGTGCCGTTTCTCGGTGAAGTACATGTACCAGTTCTGGTGTTCCTTGTCAGTATATACGACCCGACCCTTGAACCTGCCCTCGTGCAGGCGCCATTGTTCAGCGAGAAGTTTGAGACCGGCTTCGAACTCGGCCTCTGCTTGTAGAGGCTCGTACATGTCAAAGACGAAGTCGATAGGGCGACGTTTTGGACGTCGCCTCGGCTCGAATGCAGACCGATCAAATGAAGACCGAAATGGGGGGTTCATGATGACGACTAGCGCGTGGGTTTATGTATGGACAGGGAAAGGCTGTGAATACCAAAGTAGACACGATAATTCACTATACAACAGCCAAGCAGGCAGACTGCGTTTTGCAAGAGGCAATGCAGACAGGGAGTAAGGATGGTGCGGTTATGGAATACCGGGAGGCTTGCATGGGGGAAGGGGGCGAGCTATTGCAAGCGGAGGAGGTGAAAGTGAGACATCTTCTCTCCTCGAGCGGCTGGAGGGGCACCCAAGTGGTCGTGCCTCAGCACATCTTGGGCGTGGATGGCAGGTGCTGCAGGAAGAAATGGCAAACGGGGAGGGGCAGGCGAACGACGTCAGAGGCGGCAGGAGGCCGTCGCGCCTACTGGATTGGAGGAGTTGCACAGATGATGTCGGGAAAGAAGAATACGCGCGAGGCCGGCGCGGCGCGGACAGGACGAAGGCGCCAGGAGAAGGCAGACAACGAGGAGCAATCAAGACGTTGGACTCACGTTAACCAGCTGTGATATGATGTCTTCGGACTCGTAGTGGTCTCCGAAGCCGTGTCTGGCGCCCCACGAATAAGGGTTTTTCCTTCTCGAGCCCGGCCGGGAATCTTGGTCGTCGTCGGAGTCTGTGTGCGCCAGCATACCGGCATAGTCGCTCTTGGATCGCATAAGCATGGGCTTGGAGCCAGTAGATGGACGAGTGTGGAGGGAGGATGCGGAGGCAGGCGCGGGCGTAGCTGCCGATTCCGACGAGCCTGCGCCGTTTGGCAGGGCGAGAGATGCCGACGAGTTGTGCTTGCTCCCCGGGGCACTCGAGGGTCGCCGGTAGGGCAGCGACGACGTGCCAGCGACGGGTTGCAGCTCGGGGCGGTGCTCGGAGGCGGCAAGGCCGTTGGAGGGGCCGTGGGGGTGCTGGCCCAGACGCGTGGTGGTCATGATGGCGTCGGTGCTGGTAAGCTGTTGGTGGTCGCGGTCGCGGTTGCGGATGGGAGGCGCGGTGCTGGCCGGCTCGGATGGGCCTCGCGGATCGCTGCTCGATGGCATGACTGGAGCTGGAGGTGCAAAGCCGCCGGTCGGCGTGCCCAGGGCTGGGTCCGCGCGGCTGGTGCGATGATGCAGTGGCGCAGAGGATGGTGCGGGCGCGCCTTCCTGTCGGTGACGGGCGCGGGCAGACGTTGCTGCAAATCGAAGACCTGCCGAGTCAGAAGTGGGCTGGCGGTAATGGTCGAGCTGTGGACGGTGGGGACTCGCAGCACCGTCGGCAAGTGCCGTCATGTTGGATCAGGGTTCAAATGCAGCGAGCCAGCATGATTGCAGGGGTGCGTGTGTGCGGATGCAACTGCGTGGGCGGTGGTGCAGTGCAGATGGCAGAATGCCCAGCACTGGGTGTGAAGAGCGAGGCGCCGAATGAGGCCGACTGGTGGCTGGCCAGCGGCAGCCGTCAGGTGTCAGGCGAGTCCAGCCTGAGTTGAGGTTTCCCATGCAAGGCTGCAGCCGTAGCAGCTGGAAGAACTCATCCGCCAGTCAAATGCCAACGTCGGGGTGCCCGCCGAAACCTGTTCCTCCAGCGCGCGCGGAGAGAAGACAGACTCTGGGCAATAGGAGACCGCCATAACGTCACCTAAGACATGCACGCTTCAACGACAGTCGCTAGGTTGTGCAACCTAGTTCGGTGTACGCACTTGACGCCTGGGCTGGTATTGACGTCTCGGAGGCATCAGTCCGTGGTGATATGGAGAGGATACCTGCCATGCTTTGTTACTGCCGACAGCAAGAGTACTGTCGTGGCAGCTCTCGTTCGATTGGTGGCCATCCGAGGCAGCTCCTGAAAATCCGCCCGAGCTACTAGCTGCAAACGTGCCACTATCCCAGGTACCCAGCCACCCACCTAGCTGGCTATTGCCAACCACAGGCCAAATCCATCGCTAGCTAGCCAACAAAGGATTCTGGGATGACCAGATTGCTAACTGCGTGGGACGTTGCCGTCAGCGAGTGCACTACATATGCGGCGGCACGTCCGAATATAGTCACGGCGCTGCTGACATGGCGCCAACTATACGATGATGCGGTAACTGCACCATTTGGATCCCAACAACCATCCTGTAATCCTGCCACCCTCTCATAACCGTCTATCCATATTCGTACCAGCGCTTCTCGGCCACCGTTACGTCCCAGTCCGTTTTTCTTCCTACTCATGCACCTATCCCAACCCGCAGCTCTGCAGCACTAGTCGGGACTGTCCGGGCGGTTAATCCGGAACTCCCTGCGGGCCTGGGCGACTGTCCATGTGACTATCTGCAGAGTGATCATCACGATCACCCGGCTGGCGGCGCGGGTTGGCCAGCCACATTTTGCATGTCACCAAATCCCCCTGCCCATCTGAAAGCGCAGCGTACACTGTAGCACGTCGACCGAGAAATTTGAGTGGGCAGCCGCTTCGCGTAATGACAGGGGAGTGTGCCTGGCAAGTGGGCAATTCCATACCACCCATCAATGGCCGCCTTTCGCACCTGGCAAGCGTCAGAGGCAGTCTGCACGCATTCGTATTTCATACCAGTCCTATCCAAGTATTCCTGTGCGGAACGATGAATTTGGATCTCCCACACGACGGATTTGGCGGTTTGCGCCCATCTTTGGTTGTGAACGGCCCGAGAAACGGGCTGGTGAAACATTGAATCGCTGATCCACCAAGAGACCATGTGTGGGTGGTCCGTTCATTGCCCCTGATGAGGGAAATTTGATTATGAAAGTGAACCACTCTGCCGTTCTGGAAATCTTTAGCCAGGCCCGTGCTCTAGCGGCTCACCAGTTCGCTCCGCTGCGCGAGGAGCCGTCGTTCCGCTTGATTCTCTTTGCGCTGTTTGTTGATGTTAGCTCCCGCGACCCTTTGTTCCTTCGTCCGCTCTCTGCAGCATGTTTTCCAATTTTATCATTAGCTTCTCCGCGGCCGTTTCAGCGCTGGAGAGGGTGGGAGTGCAGGAGGGCTGCCAAAATGCTACTGCGTTCCGTTTAGTTTGGCTTGGCAGAAGCTTTCGTTGTTCCCGCGCTTGCATGCAGGTCCCGTCCTTTTCTGGGCTCCGTCTGGCCGCGCTGGGGAACGGGTGGGCAGGTGGTGCAATGGGTGGGACCTGGCCCCGTCATCAACGACGGTAGCAGGGGCCAAACACCGGCATCACATCATTGCGCCTGGTTGATCTGACGAACATGAGGCTTCGTGCCGTCTCTACCAACCGGTCGCGCTCGGTTCCGACTGATGGCATCAATCCGGGACTCTGGGACTCCCACAGTTCCCGCAGACATCCGTTTTTTTCTTTCTGTTGCGTGCATGCGATGGGTAGGGTCACGATCGCTAGGGAAGGATCAGGATTCGAAGGATGGGTAACGGGCAGTCTACAGAGTCGGCCACTCTTCTCAAATAGGAATTGGTACCTCGGTGGGAGACAGATAGCGACGAAATCCTACGTCGAGGCCACCCAGCCAAGATGGTGATGCAATTCGGTCGTCCACGTCTCGATCAGAGATCTCGACAGGTGAGCAAGACCTGCCTTTAACTGGAATGACTAGCATCCATTCTCGTGGAACTCCACAACTTACTTGAATCGTGAGTGCGCCGCAACTTGCCTCCTTGGCCATCAAGACATTCTACACCGGACATGGTGCAAATTATGCGCAACGACCTTCAGATCCGCCGTGAGAGGACAACAAATACACTCTTGGCGCAACTAAAAGTCGGCGATGCTGGATTGTCTTGGTAGATGGGTGAGGAACATGGCATCGACTTTGGTCCATCGCCCAGACGGCGGCGACACGTGGTGCGGATGCATTGCGAGCCCAAGATGTGCCCACGACCCTCAATTCCAATCCGGAGGGCCCGTCGCGGCGCTGGCTCGGTTGGCTCGAGGCTGGCAAAAAAGGCCAGACACAAGCCGGATGAACCCTGGCAAAGGCCCCACCATAAGCAGAGGAGAAACGCTCGGCCTGGGATGGTGTGGATTGGCTGGGCCCGTTTTCTTTACGGCCCCCATGCCAGCTTCCCAGGCTCCAGGACAATTTCTTGAACAGGTAGAGAGTCCGACGCGATCGGCCAAAAAGGGGGGAAGTCAGGCCGGACATGTGTGCTGAACTTTATATCCGGTCGCAAAAGAGCGTGGTGCCGCGTTCCAGGGATGCTGTGCGCATTGGGGCTTGCATATCGCAACCACAGGTGACCAGACCGATCCTCACTCATTGTCGTCCAGGTCTGCTTTGAACCCGCCGCAGTGCTGGTTGTAGGGCTGTGCTGCCAGCCGACGCGCCAGACCAACCACCACCAACTAATCTAATCCCCTAGTCCCCCGACCATTTTCCCCTGCCCGAGTGCGACCGGGGGTTCCATTTGGTCCTGTGCGCTGAATGCCTGCTGCCCTCATTTGATGTGCCCGGGCCTCTGAGCGAAAACGCCCCCTCCATCTCCGGCGAGGGAAGAAAAAATCGGGAGGTCGACGACGACAAAAAAACAAAAAAAAACTGGCCGGCGCACCACATGGTCTCCACCCCGATGCGCTCCCAGCCATCTCCAAACACGCAACACGACTCCTCCCAACTGCCCTCCACACTCGGGCCTCTGCCACACGGCTGCGACCCGTCATCGTTCTCTGAGCCCAACCCGATCATCTGCGTTGCTTTACGAAACGGTCGACCGAAGACGACAATTGCGTGCCAATAAACCAAGCAGCCCGACGGACACGCGACGCCAGGCTCCCAGACAACGATAGCGTTTACAGTCGTCGACACACCACATCGCATCCTCCCGCAAGCGACGGCCGCCGAATCGAACCGAATGATCTTGGGCTGACTGGCATTGGGCCCGGCCACGCGCACCAGACTCCCGGCCGCATCCAGGCGGATCCTGAGCCCGAGGAGTCGCCAACATGTCGTTTCTGTTCAAGTCCAAGAAGAACCAGGACCGGTCCCTGTCGAGTCGCGATGGTCCACCGCCGTCGTCTCAGAACCCCGTCCAGGGCGCCGCCGCCAGAGTCGCTCGCGACGAGAAGAGCTCGCTGCAAAGATCGACGCCGACCGGGAGCATCAACTCGATAGACAATGATGGCAGCATCGGGAGCCCTGACCAGGTCGGGTACGCCGCTAGGCGACCACCACAAGCGGCGCCACCAGTGCAGGCTGGGCTCGACCAGCAGCCTAGCGATCTGCCAGTAAGTTTGCAAGCGCAACAAGCCTGCGCCGCTCCTGTCCTGCTGCTGGCACTGTCGGTGGCAAAGGCCACGACGCTGGACAATTCACGAAACTGACACTGGCATCGCGAAACATCACAGTTCCGCAACGGAGGAGCAGTGCAGCCGCCTGCCCAAGTGCAAATATCGAGCCCCAACGCGAACCTCTACCCCTGGACCCAGCGCAGGTTGACATACACCTCGTCGCACCCGAGCCCTTTCCCCCGCTACGGCGCCGCCGTCAATTCGACTTCCTCAAAGGAGGGCGACATCTACGTCATGGGTGGTTTAATCAACAGCGCCACCGTCAAGGGCGACCTGTGGATGATCGAGGCCGGTGGCAATCTGGCCTGCTACCCTCTGGCCACCACCGCCGAGGGGCCCGGCCCCAGGGTTGGGCATGCGAGTCTGTTGGTTGGCAATGCCTTTATTGTCTATGGTGGAGATACCAAGATCGACGAGACCGACGTCCTGGACGAGACATTGTATCTCCTCAACACCTGTAGGTTCTTCCATCGCCGCCCACCGCCCACCGGCTGCGCGCTTGATGCGTAGCTGTCTACTGCTGTAATTCTCTCCGTTCCGTTCGCTAAAAAATATACCGCTCGACAGCCACGAGACAGTGGTCCAGATCTTTGCCGGCGGGCCTGCGCCCCTCTGGCCGGTACGGCCATTCGCTCAACATCATCGGCTCCAAGATCTACATCTTTGGTGGACAGGTTGAGGGCTACTTCATGAATGATCTCGCCGCTTTCGATCTGAACCAGCTCCAGATGCCGAACAACAGGTGGGAAATGCTGTTGTCCAACAGCGACAGTGGCGGGCCGCCCGTTGGAAAGGTGCCGCCGGCGAGAACCAACCATACGATGATCAACTATAATGAGAAGATGTACCTGTAAGTCTGGCGCGTCTTTGCGTTGCAGTCTTTCCCCCATCTTATAGCTTGCGGCAGCTAATGCAGACTACGGCGCAGGTTCGGAGGCACCAACGGGTTCCAGTGGTTCAACGACGTCTGGTGCTACGATTCTCCGACCAACACCTGGACTATGCTTGACTGCATAGGCTACATCCCGATTCCGAGAGAAGGGCACGCCGCTGCACTTGTTGACGATGTCATGTACATTTTCGGTGGCCGCACCGAGGAGGGATCTGACTTGGGGGACCTGGCCGCGTTCCGCATCACCTCGCGCCGCTGGTACACATTTCAGAACATGGGGCCCTCGCCTTCACCCCGCTCTGGGCATAGCATGACAACCGTTGGAAAGGCGGTCGTCGTCGTCGGCGGCGAGCCTAGTTCGGCGGCAACTGCCGTAAACGATCTCGGCCTCGTGTACATGCTCGACACCACCAAGATCCGATACCCGCCCAACGATTCCTCCTCACAGTCGCGCAATGGCTCGCAGTCGAGGCAACGAAGCGCTAGCAACGCAAACGAAGCCGGTATGCATGCCGCCAGCCGAGGGCTCCCCATGCGGGAAGGGTCCAACGGCCCGGAGGGTAGGAAAATGATGGCGGCGCGGGAAGCGGGTGTCAGCAGTCCTGCCAATGTCATTCGGAGCGACATGACCAACCCGCAAGGGGCGCCAAACCAGTCCAAGCTCCCCCGAGCCGCGGGTGCATCGCCTCCCGCTGGCCCACCCCCTCAAGGCCAGCCACCAAGGCCGACGGTCAATACCTCGGCCTCTTCGACTCGCCCTTTGCGTAATGCATCTGTCGAACGGGCCGAGATTGTCGTCTCCCCAGTTACCCCCATCCAAAACCCCACGATACCCGAGGTCAAGGCAGCCGAACCCGCAACCAATGGGAGACGCACTCCAACCAAGGCTACGCCCAAACCTGAGCCCATCGCCGAGGCTCCAAAGCCCAAAACAGCTCGCTCCGCTCGCTCGCAAGGGTCTGTCGATAGCTCAACCGAGCCAACCCTGAAGGTAGCCCCTGCACCGCGGCCGGCATCGCCGCCTCCGCCCACTCGTCAGAACAGCAATCCCATGTCCCGCAGGTCATCTGGCCGGGCCTCGCAAACTGTTGCGATTCTTAAAGAGCTGGATATGGCCAGGAGCAGGAACGCGTGGTATGCATCGGAGTTGGAGCTGGCAAGGAAACAAGGCTACACCCCCAACACTACACTGAGTCCTGTTCTCGAAGGCCGAGCGGCCGAGACTTTCGACGACGAAGACAAGCCACTTATCGAGGCCCTCCTGGCCATGCGCCAGGAGCTTGCTGGTGTGCAAGCTTCGGTCGACAAGCAGGCGGTCTTGGCTGCCAAGCAAATCGCCGAGGCAGAGAGACAGAGGGATGTAGCGATACAGGAGGCGGTTTATGCCAAGGCCAAGCTTGCGGGCCGTGCTGGAGGTAGTACTTCGAGCACGCCGCAGATGGACATGGCAAGGGACCTGGACGACAGGAGCAGCGAGATGAGCCGGAAGCTTGCGGGCGCCCTGAACACCCAGCGTGACCTCCAGAGCCAGGTCGAGCGCCTGTCTTCGGAAATCGAGGCCGAGAAGCGAGCCCGGAAGCTCGCCGACGAAACGACGAACGCGGCGCAAAAACGCATGTCAGCCCTGGAGACATACAAACAGCAGACGTCGCTCGAGACCGAGAGCCTGCGCGCGGAGCTGCACATGCTCCAGCGCGAGGCGCGAGAGCAGTCCCTCGTGGCGGCAGAGGCCGTGGCCCAATTCGGTATGTTGCGCGTGGAGAAGAACGAGTTGGAGGTCAAGTACAATGAGGTCTCGGGCTCGTCGGAGGAGCACAGCACTGCCATTGCCTCTCTGCGCGAGGCACTTGTGTCTTCGGACGAGACCAAGGAGCTGCTCGAGCGCAAGATGCAGGAGGAGCGAGAGCAACGCGAGGCGATGGAGGCCAAGTTGAGGACGCTCATGGCCGAGCACGAAGCGTCGGTAGCCGAGCTCGAGTCGGTCACACGAAAGCTTCAGGATGCTGAGCAGATGGCAGAAAGCCACGCAAAGGAGGCCAAGCTGCACAAGCAGGCTTTGATGGGCGGATTCGAACAGATTGCCGCTAGGTCCATCGGCAAGGATGCAAATGCCGACTCGGAGCGCGTCACGGCTCTACAGGGCCAGCTGACTGCGGCCAACGCCCTGGCGAGGAAGTACCAGCAGCAGGCGGACATGGCCTCGGACAAGCTGCGGAGCGCCGAGGAGCGCATCGCGGGCCTGGAGGCGTACCAGGAACAAGCTAGCCGGGAGGGCGTAACCATCAGAAAGCAGCTCCAGGCGGCGCTCAGGGAAACGCAGAATCTGCAGGCCTCGGCCTCGGATCTGAAGAACCAGCTGGCCAAACAACAACTGGAGAGCAACGCCGTCACGGTGCAGCACAACACTCTGAAGAGCATCCTCGGTGAGCGCGGCATCAGCCCGACAGGAGTGAGGTCACGTGGTAGCCCACGTGGAGACTCTCCCGAGGCTCCAGCGAGGGTGCGTGAGCTTGAGCAGCAACTCGAGTCGACGCAAACGGCACACGAGGAGAACAGGCAGGCGTTTATGGCACAGGCGCAAGCGTCGGAGAGCGCCTACCGCGAAAAGCTCAGCCAGCTGGAGAACGACTACCAGTCGGCGGTGCACTACGTCAAGGGCACCGAGAAGATGCTCAAGAAGCTCAAGGAGGAGTTGGCGAGATATAAGAACGAGAACTCGCGGCTCAAGAGCGAGGTGATTGAGCTCGAGGACAAGACCAGCGGGGCGCCGTCGGACTGGGAGTCGGAGAAGGCGTCGTTGACCAAGAAGATCGAGACGCTGCAGTCGGAGATGATGTCGGCGACGACGCAGCTTGAGAAGCAGATGCAGGCTGTGCGCAAGGAGCTGGACACGGCGAAGCGCGAGCGCGACAGCGCCGTTAAGCACAGCGAGGAGGCATCGCAGCGCATCAACACGAGCAAGAAGGACCTCGAGCAGTTGCAGCACGAGAACGCTCTGCTGCAGGAGCGGGCGCAGGACGCGGAGGAGAAGGTTAGCCTGCTGCTCGACCAGGTCGAGACTTCGGTCGACAACTACCGCCGCCGTAGCAGGCAGGTAGCCAGCATGGGCTCGGACCAGTTCCGCGACTCGAGCAGCAGCGCCGGTGCCGCGGCCGCCCCGGCTGCGGCCGTCCCGGCCACCAACGGAAAGTCGGGAGCCGCGACGGCGGCGGCAGTGGGGACAGTGGCCGGTGGCGTTGGTGCGGCCGCGGCGTCGGGGCTCGCTGGCGTCGGTCGGGTACGCAGTGACAGTGCCGAGACGACTAGCGAGTACGGCGGCAACCTCGAGGAGCGCAACAGCGCCGCCCTCGACAGCCTGGCCAACGAGCTCGAGACGCTGCGCACGCATTGGGAGGCGACCAACAAGAACTACCGGCTCAGCAACACGTTCGACTTTGAGCCGCCGACGGCCGCGACGACATCGCCAGGAAGGAAGGGCGAGAAGGACGATAACGGACTGAGCGAGTCTCTGGCCGACTGGAGAAAGAGGCTTGACAACGCATAAAAATGTGGCCCGAGGTTGGTGTGTTTCTGTTGCTGCCTCAAGATGGGGACGGGACGCCAGACGGCGACGGGGTACTCGTCTCGGACGGCTTAAAACTGGGTGGTTTAATTCTTGAATGAGGGGTGGGCTAGGTTTATTTCTCCAACTCTCTTGGCCTCTTTTTCTTTCTTTTCGCCCCTGCACCTACCTCTCTTTTTTTCCTTGCATATTTTCTCTTTTCTCTATCGCCACTGATTTATGGATGCCGACATGTCTGATCTACGCCTCTTTCAGTTCCTGTCTCTTCGTTTCTACATCTGCCTTTTATGTTCTCTCCCTTTCAGCCTGCCTGCCGAGCAGGCATTGTCGGGACCTCGACGTGGCTTACAGCCTTCTGTACGTGTGGGCTATCATCTTTCTTGTTTTCCATACCCGTATACCAGCACATGGTCTGTTTGTCTTCGTAATGGCACCTCGTTTTTGACACTCGCTATCCGAGACCTGGCACAGACAGGGTGTATTATTCTCTGATGGTTTGGGGGGGCTTACCTCTTTTCCTTTCTTTTATTTGTTGCCTATTGCTTGATGACCTGGCCTTGCGCCGCCACACCCACAATAACAAATACTCTATTACTTGTTTGATACGAGGCAAACTATTCATTTAGCAGCTGTATTCTGGGCTTGTCCCGCCGTTGACCTGGCTATAGCTGAAGGGAAACCATGGGTCCTCGTTGTATGGAATTATCTCCATGTCCCCTATTTAGATCTTGAGTTCCACCGTGGGATGTACGGTCTGTCTGTCTGGGCTTTGCTGGGAAAGGTTCCAGTGAGACAACAGTGGTCCGCTTGTAGGCAAGATGATGTTGCGGAAACAGCCTTCCAATCCGCGCGTTGAGGGGCCAAGGAAGCACATGAAAAAAAAGGGGTAGCGGTTCGGCCAAGCCGGGCAGGGGGCGATGACGGCGGACGACGCGACTGGGCGCCTCGGGTCCTCTGCAGAGCCGGCCTTGTTGGGCTGCTGCGAACGCCCGAGGCTGCATCCCAGCAACAAAAGTGCCATTGAACGACGGGCACCTTTGGCGGCGCTTCCACCCGGCCGGCCGTGTCATATGCTTTGTCTCTCTCTCTCTCTCTCTC